AAGAGAAAAAATATTCTTTAAAATGATTAATTTCTAGGGCCACGACACTACTGCAAGTGCACTGTGCTTTACTTTGAGTCTTTTTGCTAAGCACAAAGATGTCCAGGTAATGTAATGTCCAACAAAGATTTTCAGCTGAAATGATTAACAAAAGAAGCAATGTTTTTTTATTTTTATAAATTAACTATGATTTAATTATTGAATCGTTTCACTAATTTCGGTAGTTTAGTACTAATTCTAATGTCAATGATATTAACTGAAAATAAGTTTTATCGGTACTCGAATTCGAATAAAAATTATTCTAACTTGCAATGCTCTTTACGTTTTACGATTTTCATAATTTATGCAATGAATAATTAATGACGTATTTATTTTTAGGAAAATATAAGAAACGAGGTTAGAACGATTATGCAAGATGATAATTTAACGATGTCATCACTTTCAAACCTTTTCTATTTGGAGAGGTGTCTGAAAGAATCTCTTCGTTTGTATCCACCCGCCTATTTAATATCTAGGCGAATTTCTCACGATATACAACTGAGTATGAAATTCTATGTATATATTATGTACTATAATTTCACTTGTAAATTATTGACTATTCATTTTTATTTTATTCACTATGCAATCATATATATTAATTTTGTAGAAAATTATTTAATTCCATCTGGTACTTATTGTCATATAAGCATTCGAAACGTGCACAGAAATCCAGAATATTGGACAAATCCAGATGTTTTCGATCCGGATAGATTTTTACCGGAGAATAGTAAAGGACGTCATCCCTATTCCTACATACCATTTAGTGCTGGCCCGAGAAACTGTATTGGTAAATGGCTTATGTAGAAATGACTAGAACAATTTAAAAATTTGGGTTTTTATTTTTGTATTTCTCATTTCACAGGTCAAAAATTTGCAATGCTTGAGCTTAAACTCTTTGTAGCTTTTATATTGTACAATTTTGAGTTGGAACCGGTGGATGATCTAGATGATGTTACATATTTAGGTGGTGTCACCTTAGGCTCTGCGAAACCACTTCGAGTCAAATTTATACCTATTACATAAGTATTTTCATAAGTATTATTAATTAAAAAATTAAAAAAAAATTTTATGCATGTGTAAAATAGTTATTTGTTATTGGCGAATTTGATAAGAAAACAAAAAAAAAATGAACTTTTAATTTATTTTGTATAAATGGATAATACATTTTAATATTAAAATAAAATACAATTTAATAATTTTTAAATATATTGTTAAGTCCTAACCGACAAATATTATCAAATAGTAAGGATAATCATGTTTGGGCCATACTGCATTCACGGAGTTTAGCCGGAATCAGGCAGGTTCGTATTTTCCAAAAATTAAATTATCATAAAGAATAGTAAATTACGCGAAAAGATTATGTATGGATCGAATAAATGATGATGGATCAAGGAAATTTAACTGGGTTATGAAAATTATGGAATTAAATATATGGTCACAAATAGATTTCAGAATGTGCCTAATACTGGAACTTTGGTCATTCGGGATAAAGTTTTTGAAAGGGTCAGCAACTTTAGGTATTTAAGATCGATCATTAAATAGACGAACGAAATTAACGAAGAACTTATGAAAAGAATCAATTAGTAGGACAACATTAGATGGGATCTTAAAGAAAGAGGATACGAAGACCGCGAATAGAGGGGTCGCGCTTAGGGAAGGAAACAATGGCAGGATTTGGTATTTGCGGCAATGAACTTTCAAGTTCCTAATGCTGATTAATAATAATAATAATAATAATAAAAATTGAAAGCACTAAATGAATTTACGATCTTAATATACAGGATCATGTGTGTCTGTAATATATCTTCAAAACTTTTCAGCGTTAAAATAAGTCGACTCAATTGCAATGAGTAGTTGCAGCTCTCTATTGTAATCCTAAGGATGATTCAGAATATTAATTTCCACATCAAGATTTTATTGGTAAATATATGATGGCTTGCTCTTTTAACTTAGTACAAGGGATATTTGAGAAGTGAAGCTTTCACAGTAGACATTAAACGATCATTTAACAATTAATGTTTCAAATTAATTATTGAAGCCCGTAAAAAACAAATGATGCAAAACGAAAGACTCACGCGGCATGTCTAGAGTGAGATATTCTGTGCATAGCAACTGCGGGCGCTTATCATATATACAATTACGCGGCATCTTTAGCGGGAACGACTATAGCCGCTCGTAGTATCTCAGCGGAATCACATAGAAAGCGACTATAGTCGCCCGTAGTACCTGAGTGGCATCACATGGAGAACGACTATAGTCGCTCGTAGTAACGAAAGGGTTAACCCGCTCCGACGCAGTGCACTACATGGTGGCGTTACTCCCGCGGAGCAGACTGCCGTTACGAAAGGGTTAAAAGTCTTATACAATCTTATCATCCTCAAAAGATAAATTTTTAAGTAAACATGTTAATTTGAGGGTTTTCGAAGAAGATGATTATAAATCTGATATTATTTGATTAAAAAAGCATAAAAACGGACTCAGAATTAAAGATAAATTGACACAACCAAATTTGTTTGCATTTTTCTTTCGATTTTAATGTTTAAATATATGATTTTTTTATAGTATAAATTTATAACATTATATTACATTCCTTTGTAATTATATTTATTTGTAATTACACAAATTTAGGAATAAAGTGTCAAGTTTTTATTTGTACTATTGTGCATTATTGTCAAAAATTCTGTATAAAATTAAAAAATTCAACTAAAAGCAACTAACTATTTTATCATTTATTAAGAAAAGATTTTATAAAATTGAAATATTATGAGAATACGAAATGCAGCTGTACGTATAACTTTAAGTTCGTTTGAAAAAATATTTCTCATATTGCATCCATTAGTAACTAAAATGGTTATTATATTGAATAATTCCTATATTGAAGTTAGATAAATACTACACTATGCGTGTTTAAACAGACCGTAATTTTTGGGCCTCAAAGAATCACAAATGTGTTTCTACTGATAATTTATTGTTATGCATAGTCATCTATTTAAAAAAAAAAAAAACTGTTAATAAAATAGTTAATGGATTCACCATATACATTTCTATGTTTGAAAGTGTAAAAGAGAACTTGATTTTTTGACTTTCTCCCAATTTTTGGGATTCAGGACAAATTTGTGTTGCCCAATAAGTTTCACTACAAGAAGAAAACACACGCACGAACTAATAATGATTATTAATACGATAACACAGATACAAATTAAAAAAAAAAAAAGAAAAAAAGGGAAGATATTGCAAATTAAAGGGGATATCTTTTACTTATTTTCTATTGAAATAAACCTGTTGCGAGAATGAGGAAAACATACGAGAAAATACATAAATTGAATACTTACGATCATTCGTTTTTTTTGCACAATAGGCATAATACAATACCAATTAAAATTGCATTAATGTTGTGACGAAATAGCTCAATAAAGTATAATTTGTTACGTTTTTCAATGTTGATGAATTACTGGATAAAATTGAGTAAAAGAGAAATAAAAATAATACACTAGAGATGAAGTAGTTTATAGGAAAATTATTTCAGTACTTGTTTTTCAAACTTAATAGAGCGTAGAACCGATAATGATATACATTTATGTAGATTAATTGAAACGGATCCCATCTTTCTAAGAGAGAGAAATGTAAGATAAACGGAAGAACAATAGAAAGAGTAGGAAAGAAAATTAAAGAATAAGAGATGTGTGCGAAATATTTAATAAGCTGAAAATAAACTGCGCCTGGAAAACCTGTTACATGGCACTCATCAACCTACCTGTACTAAACAGTAAAATTAGTCCATACATTTGAACGACCTTTAAATGCGTTTTCCTGGCTTCTTGAANCGTCCAATCCCAACGTAACAATAGTATAAATATTTCCTTTCCTGTTTTCTTTAATTTTACAAGAAAGTCAATAGTAATTAATCAATATAAAATCTTACATTTTTTGTGGTTTAGCCGGATCAGTGATTTGTTTTATAACACTCTTTAAAAGCATTTATCATCACAAGAAAAAGTAATTGTTTAGAAGATTTTTCGAAAAGAAGTTATACGATCATAGCAACGTGATCGCGTGCTGGGTAACTTGGCAAGGTGGCCATTATTAAGCGCCCAGCTACGTGTTCAGGATTTAGTTAAAAACTACGATGTAAAAAAATATATACTTTGTTTATTCTTATTATTAGGGTCTATAGGATAGTATGCGTTCGTGGTGTTTATGCGCTTGTCAATGATTTTTATTATTGATAAAAGCATCAGAAAATATCCCTAAATCGCCGATTGTARTAACATTTTGCTCAAACTAATATAAAATAAATAATCTAAATGATAATTGTGTGTGTGTGTGTGTGTGCTCCTTTGTCAAGACTGCTTAATACAAGGATAAGGTACTTTTTTGAAATATGTCACAGCTAGGAAAATCGAAGACTCTAATCGTAGAAGATAAAAATATGAATGTCGAAGGGAGAGGAAGAAACGATTATCTTTTATGAGGCACGAACGAATACTGACGCATTTATATCATTCAAATTTAAATGTATTATTTATATGATATTTGTTAATATTTTAAATTGTTTACCGCCGCTAAGTAATAATCCAGTAGAAAGCCAGTGCCGAATATGTTTGTAAAAGATTCCTTTTTCAATATATTTATTGCTTGTCAATAGTACCTACGATAGAAATTAATATTTTTTTACATATATAAATTAAATATTTCGATTGATTTTTAAACCTTTAAAGCATCAAATTTTTTTCATATAAATTTACTAAAGCWCCTTTATAATTATTATCTGTCAATTTTGCATTACATCAAATGAATTGCAGAGATAAAAAACAGCATTTAAATATTTAGCTCAAAAAAGAGATACAAAAGGAATAGTCCAAGATGATTTTTTTCAAGTATGTAATTTCAATTTTTCGTGCTGGTTTCAAAACTGTTGAATCTATGCAATTTTTGTAACAAAAGAAATAGTACATTTCTAACTTTTTTTATATTTTAAAAGAGTAAAAAATATAAAAAGACATGTTTATTTGGTATTTACTTGAAAATAACTTACCTGAATATCATCAGGATCAAGTAAAGCTACTCCATAATACACTAAGAACCAAAATTTGTAAATTGGATAAAATTTATTATTCAGTTCTCCTATTTTCTCTAATATACGATCTAAGTTATTTAAATAAATTAGTTATTAGTGAGAACTTCATTGAAAAAGAGAAAAAGCACTGAAAAAATATTTTAATAGAACTTACCATTGTCAACGTTGTAATGATGAACATTTCCAATTATCGGATAGTCTTTTGGTCCTGGAATTAATCTGAGAAGTCTTCCAACTCTGCTATATTTTAAATAACAGTGAAATAAAAATATAATCAAAATTGATCCTAATAAGATTGCGAGCATCATTTTATCTGTAAAATAGAAAAAATTGAAAATAAACATTGAATATTGCAAAAACTATTTTTCCTAATTATCATTATTCTTAACTCCAAAATTTCTTCTAAAGACTTGCGTGCTTGTGAACAATCAACCTATTTATGGGTTAAATAGTTTTATTATTGGTTTCTTTTCTATTAATTATAAGCACACACATACATACGAACGATATATAATAGTAAATCTTAASGAGAATATGATTAACAATACTATAGAAAATTTGTATTTACTATGATTTATTTAAAATATAAATTCTAGCTMATTTATGAAATATCAGCTTAAGTTTTAGACTACTAAAATGTCAAATAAAAAAATCATAAAAAAGAAACGATAATATTTAAAAAAAATACTAGTAGTGTTTAGTAATAAGATCAACAAATGAAATGAGATATGGTGGATTTTTTTTGGTACCGTAGCTATTTTAGAAGATTAACTGTAGTTTTAGAGATATTAATTTAGGAATAATTTCTYATAATGTTAATAAAATTAGTGCAATATATACAAAATTGAAAGAGCTGTTATTAGTGAAAGAAAAAATAGCTGTTTAAACTTATAAAAACCTAGGTCGCCTAAAATTATATAACCTGTAGTACTGATTTGCAAAATGTAAATGAAGGGGTAAGCTAGAAGTGAGAAAGAATAATAAATTTAGATACCTTTCTCATTAGAATAGACGCCGAACACTGATTTTAATTTACTATAAAAACTAATTTATTAGTAATAAATATAAATTCACACACAAAAATTCTATTGTCCAATTCTATTCAATAAAATCTTTATTTTCATACGTGACAACTAACTGGACAAATTAAAACAGAATGAAATAAAGTTAGTAATCACACAATGTTTAGTCCTAATGTTTTGACCATAGTTTAGAAAAATAGTACAATAAAATCTACTATCTCTGACGCTTAAACAGTCTACGTAAGAATGTTAGTATATTTCAAAAATTAAAGCTATCTACAATTGGTAAMCCGAAAAAAAATATAGTTATTGGTGAAGTCATTAATATAAGCTACAGATATAATAATCTCTCAGAGATAAAATGAGTTCACAAAAGGCTATTGGAATTGCTCTTTTCGTTTGTCGAAGATGCAAGATGATTTCCTTCAAGAAGCCAGGAAAACGCATTTAAAGGTCGTTCAAATGTATGGACTAATTTTACTGTTTAGTACAGGTAGGTTGATGAGTGCCATGTAACAGGTTCTCCAGGCGCAGTTTATTTTCAGCTTATTAAATATTTCTATTAAAGAATAATAACGATAGCTAAAAATCTATACTTTACCACTTATATATGCTAGACTATAATGCAGAACTCACACTAATACAATAACGCACGTAGCAAGACCACACGATTAGCAGGTGTCCAAATTGTAAAATCGAGTTGTTGAAGTTTCTTGCAGCAAAAGGAAAAGTATGTTCTTCATTTACAGTGCGGCCAGGACCTACATATCACGTTATTTATAGTTATCTGAGCGTAATAAGCAAAATTAAAGGAGCTCTTAAAAGAATGAAAAAGGATACTTCGCAGAAGTCCCAAAAAAGTCAAAATATTTCAGCCTTAGATTTGAAACGACAATTTGTTGTTTTTAAATTTTAAATTATAGATTTAAACTCTCGCAAACAAGTACACATGTACAAATTAAAAAGTTATCAGGCAAACCATCAAAGAAATCAGCTTTTATTTTGGACTTTTACAGTGCAAAAAAATAATTTATTTTCCTTTACTGTTTAGACTATTTTTGAATTATTATTTAATTGTGTAATTTCCTTTCAGAATAAAATAATCGCTTGTTAATTCTATTCTTTCAATTCCGTGAGAGTTTTCATGCCGAAACAAGTTGTATTGTTACTGAGTAAATTAGTGTACATTGATTTTTTTGTCCATCCCTATCTCACTCATTCCTGCGTGCCAAAATATTACATGACTGACGACTCACGGCTTTAATAATTAGTTATTTCTTTTCTACTATTTTTTCGAAACATAATTAAATATAATTACATATACGTCAAAAGGTTATACCTTTCCAAGTAGATATCGATATTATATTAAATGTGTTGTACATTAAGTATATGGAGAGATTTTGTATTTTTGTTTTTTGATTAGTTTGCATAGAAAGATATTTAATTAGCAAGAAGCTAAGAACCTATATCTTTTAGCTTCTTTTCCTTTTTATTTTTTACTTGACTACTAAGAAAAAACTCATTTATAATTATCAAGTGTTTACGTCCATCCAGGGTTAGATAACATTTTTATACACTTTATTCAGCATATCATATCAGATAATACATTCTTTTCTGTTGGTATAAAATAATTATTTTAAATATTAGAAAAATTAAAATTACAGTAAATAAAATATTCTATAGCCAAAGCCCGTGCATCGGTCCTAAATCCCGAAAAAATAAATAAAAGTAGAAAAGTTGTAGTATAATTTTATCAAAAATTATAATTTGAGGGTTTTCGAGGAAGATGATTATAAATCTGATATTATTTGATTAAAAAAGCATAAAAACGGACTCAACATTAAAGATAAATTGACACAACCAAATTAGTTATCATTTTTTTTTCGATTTTAATGTTTAAATATATGATTTTTTTATAGTATAAATTTATAACATTATATTACAATCCTTTGTAATTATATTTATTTGTAATTACACAAATTTAGGAATAAAGTGTCAAGTTTTTATTTGTACTATTGTGCATTATTGTCAAAAATTCCGTATAAAATTAAAAAATTCAACTAAAAGCAACTAACTATTTTATCATTTATTAGGAAAAGATTTTATAAAATTGAAATATTATGAGAATACGGAATGCAGCTGTACGTATAACTTTAAGTTCGTTTGAAAAAATATTTCTCATATTGTATCCATTAGTAACTAAAATGGTTATTATATTGAATAATTCCTATATTGAAGTTGGATAAATACTACACTATGCGTGTTTAAACAGACCGTAATTTTTGGGCCTCAAAGAATCACAAATGTGTTTCTACTGATAATTTATTGTTATGCATAGTCATCTATTTAAAAAAAAAAAAACTGTTAATAAAATAGTTAATGGATTCACCATATACATTTCTATGTTTGAAAGTGTAAAAAAGAACTTGATTTTTTAACTTTCTCCCAATTTTTGGGATTCAGGACAAATTTGTGTTGCCCAATAAGTTTCACTACAAGAAGAAAACACACGCACGAACTAATAATGATTATTAATACGATAACACAGATACAAATTAAAAAAAAAAAAAGAAAAAAAGGGAAGATATTGCAAATTAAAGGGGATATCCTTTACTTATTTTGTATTGAAATAAACCTGTTGCGAGAATGAGGAAAACATACGAGAAAATACATAAATTGGATACTTACGATCATTCCGTTTTTTTTGCACAATAGGAATAATACGATACCAATTAAAATTGCATTAATGTTGTGACGAAATTGCTCAATAAAGTATAATTTGATACGTTTTTCAATGTTGTTGAATCACTAGTTAACATTGAGTAAAATAAAAATAAAAATGATACACTAGAGATGAAGTAGTTTATAGGAAAATTATTTCAGTACTTGTTTTTCAAACTTAATTGAACGTAGAACTGATAATGATATACATTTATGTAGATTAACTGAACCGGATTTCATCATTCTAAGAGAGGGAAATGTAAGATAAACGGGAGAACAATGGAAAGAGTGGGAGAGAAAATTAAAGGATGAGAGATGTGAGCAGAGGAAAAGAAAAGGAAAGAAACAATTTTACTCATCAATTACTAATGGATTGAAAAACTATTATTTCTAGCACTGCACACACAGCATCCTTTTTCTATTTACCATTCAAATTTGTCCATACTTTGCCCAAGTATGTTCGAAATAATAAGGAGTTCTTTGATCTATAGATTAAAATTGATACAGGAATTCTTTATTTCTTGCATCTGATATCGGTCATATCATCCCAATTAAACTTAACACATTGCATACAGAAGACAAGATATTTCGTCTTTAGCAATCCGAAATTTGAGGCCAGGAGACGAGATATTTCGTTTTAAGGTTACATTCACTCAATCGACAATTTAAGAAACTAAAAATAGACTTTATTGTTACGTTACCAGTAATTGTTGTTTGATGATTTTTTGGATTAATCGAATAATACTGCAGATGAAAATGAACTCAATGATAATAGGGAAATTCTTAAATTTAGTAATGTTATTAGACATGCAATTACACCCAAAAATATGCGGTCCCTGGAAACGTGTTGCACGAAAAGTGTGCCGTACGTAATGTGTTAAATTATTATAAGCTAGGATTAAATGAGTCCACGATACTAAGAATGAAGGAAATAGTATTCTTCTTTCTATGCTCTTCTATGTAATACTTCTCTCTCTTTAGCATACAATTTTCCCACTCTTTTTATTTTTCTCCTCTTCATCCCATTTATTCTGCTCTATAAAAGAAGAGATACATCTTTCATACGCAATAAACAGAAGAGGCTGCAAATATAATGAGAGAAACCGGTTTAGTTAAATTACATAAATATACATCCAATATCGGATTTACATTCAGTTTGCTAAATGTTGATTTCAACAAACGACTCTTTGAATAATTTTCTTTTAAATTACGTAATCTCAAGTATTTCAGTTTTTTTTCTCTTTTACATAAGTTTATCCAATGATTGAACAACATTAAAAAACGCATCGACTTATACTTCATTGTGCATCTTTGCCACAACATTTTTGTAATTTTTATTGCTATCGTATTATTGCTTTTGTGCAATAGAACTAGTTCACGTGAGTATTAAAATTATTTATTTTTTCTTATGTCTTCCTCAGTCTTATAAGAGAGACTGTTTAACATTGTTTATTTTAGTATACAATGAGTAAAAGATATTTCCTTCAAACTTCAATACATTCTTTTATTTTTCAAATCGTCTTTGTGTTATTGTATTAATAATCATTGTCAGTTCGTGCGTGTGTTTTCTTTTTGAATTATAACTTATTAGGCAACACAAATTTGTTCCCGAATCCCAAAAATTGGGAGAAAGTCAAAACATCAAGTTTTTTTTTACACTTTCAAACATAGAAATGTATATGGTGAATCCATTAACGCAAAGTATGCATATTTTGCATCGGGAAACCAGTGCATGATTTATTTTTAGAGAAAAAAAATGAAGAACGAATCAAAGAATGGCAAGTGCTATCGATATACGCGATGCATATTACAAAAAAGATAAAAATATTACGGCTTTCGTACACGCGAGCTATACCGTGGATGCTTCATCTGAAACAATTTATCTTATCTAATTAATCTCCTGCTCATTGACTGGTAAATATAGAAAATAATTAATTGAGTCGTTGAAAGTTCACAATGTATAGGTTTATTTACTGAATACAGCTTTACCTAAAAGAAAAATGTTAAGGGGAAAGAAATCTAAAGATATATTACTTATTTTAATAAATTAATACATGAGTTATTAATATTCATAGATCTTCTACTACGTAATTATTTGAAAATTAAACTGACATATATCGTGAGCATAAAAATAGAATTTGTATAATATTGAATGTATGTCACTTAAATTACGCGCGATTACTATTTTATATAATAAATATTATAGTATTTTTTTTCATATTTAGTATTAGATTGATTCCAATTCGTTTAGAATTAAATCTCCACTTTTCTGTGAAATGGATTACCTAGTGAACACACCAATATAACCGAGACGTCACATTTACAGAACCAAAATTTTAGGTTACGTAAACCTTAAAATAACATCGAGTCACAGGTGACTCACATGTGACGCACAATTTCACACTCATTTACGTAACATTGTGACGTTACATAATGAACATAAATATGATATCAATTTCACATACATATTACATTGGTCATATAGCAGTGATATAATTCGAATATCATAGTTACGTCACATATAAAAAAAAAATCTAAAATCGTTGTTGAGGTTATGTAATTGTTTTCATGTCTTTGTTGTAAAAAATAAATTCTTATTTATTCATTTTATTAATAACTGATTATTTTTTAAGAATTTGCTATTTTATGCACAACAATTTAATTGGTTCTATTTTATAAATAATATTTTGTATCCAAGAAAGGTAGAAGGAAATGCGTATGTAAAGAGCATAAGAATGATTATCACAAGTTGTAGTACCAGCCGTTTCCCTTGCAGTAATTCCAGAACTAACAATACCTCTTAAAAACCATAATTGTCCAGTTTGAAATAAAATTCCTCCTCCACTATCACCATCACAGACAGATGTTCCTAGAATAAATATATAATTCGTTTCACATATTAACTTAAGAATATTTAACATTATACATATTGATTTTTATTGTGTTACAAACCATTTGTATAGCCAGCACAAAATTTATCATTTGTCATTAACTGCTCGTATATAACAGAATTGTTTACAGCTTTGCATTGAATACTAGAAACGTAGGGCATTGTTGCTAATTGAAGAAGAGAGCTTGATAACCCAAACGCAGTATATCCGAATCCAGCAACTATTCCAAGTCCAGATTCAATAATAGTATCATCTAAACATGCTGGTAATAATCGAAGTGAAAATACAAATGGCTCGTCAATCTCTAAGAGAGCTATATCATAAGCATAATTCCCTAATGAACCTAAGTAATTACAATGAACGTAAATATGTTTTACCTGAAAGAAAAAAATAATATATATATATGATACATTTGACAATAAATTAGTGAAATACTATAAAACGATATGAAGATTTATATCATATTAAACATTAGATAGACTTTTTTATTTTTCATACCCTAGCCTTTTTCACATAACGTTGATCATGCCTTTCATAATCATAATCACGAACTGTATTTCCAGCTGCTACGTAATATCTTCTTGGGTCGTTTACTATACCAACTGTTTCATCGTAAACGCAATGAGCAGCGGTAACAAGAAAATTCTCTTTTATAATTGTTGCTCCGCAAATAAATTCTTTTGGTCCATTTAATCGTTTCGTTTCATATAAAGTAGCATGCCAAGGCAAATGCTCAGCATTGATTCCATTTGCAATGAAAGGTTTAGCGTTTAGAGTTTGCACATATCCACATACTAGAATATATTTTAAAAAGTACAATTAATAAGTCTAATATTTGAACGAAAATAATGACAAGTATAAAATAACATATATTAAAGTAATATAAGTGGTCAAAAATATCGTATTAAGAAATATATAATGAAATATTAAATAAAAAAAAAAATTAATAGTCTTGACCCCTTTTAGTAAGAAATAAGTTTAAAAATACATTTCGAAATTTGAAGTATGAATTTATTTAATTTTAACTTCCTAAACAAAATTTTTCGATTTTTAAAATAAAGCAATATTTATCGATCAAAAAGATATGACATTCAAAAACAAACAATTTAAATAAAGAAGAACGATTGTTATTTTTATCAGAAAAAAAGATGATAATATTATATTGCATTATCTGTTTGAACATTAAAGCCTTCAAACCTGGAATGCATTTTATTGGATCTGGTGTCCATTGACCTTTTTCGTTACACTTAACTTGATCCCTTTCTGTTGATAAGAATGGAGAGTTTTGTTTATATCCGTTTCTACATCTTAATGTAGCTATTGTTCCAGGTAAAATGGCAGTCTCGCAAGAAGTCCATTCGTTGTAATACGTACAATCAGCAAATGTTGATGCAGAAGCCAATGAATCACAATATATTTCTAAAAAAATAATACAAACTCTTGCTTCGAAAAACAATACACATATTATTATTATTAACCTTTGTGATAAAAATACTTCAAATGAAAATCTTACTAGTACAAACTGGAATATTTATCCATTCTCCGTTTGAACTACAAAATACGTTCCGGGTACCATTTATTTTGTATCCATTATTACAGTTATAAACCAAATGAGATCCAGCGGGTAATTTTAAACCTTCCTGCACGTCACAGTTGTTTTGTGAGTGGCATTGTGATTTGTGTAAGTGGCGATTACCATTCTCAGGCTGGGGAGGGGCCGGACAAAAAATGCATGATGTTGTATTATTTTCTGAAGGTGGTATGAATGGGGAAGATGTCGTTGAAGTCGTTGTTGTTAGAGTTGGAATATTAAACGAGGGTTTTTTTTTAGATTGTAAAATTATATTTCGGATCCAGTCTACGTAGCTGGATATACGCGTGTATAGAGAGTATGTATGGTTATCACAAGCTTCTGAACTACCAGATGGTATTTCATTTAAAGTGACACTAAAGATACCTCTTATATACCAAAAACCAGAAGTTTTAAATACTAGTCCCTCTCCGTCATCACCTTTGCAGACAGATGTTCCTTAAATAAAGATGTCAATTGACAGCTATCAATTATGTACATTATCAATGTTTTATTTCAATATATACATTTTGATTCGTTACTAACCATTCGTATAGCCAACGCAAAATTTATCCTTCGTCTTGTATCTTTCAGATTCAATTGAATTATCTAAAGATTTGCATTGATCTAGACGAACATAAGGAAATGTTGCAGATTGTAAAGCAAAACTATTTTCTCCGGAAATTGTTCTACGAAATCCTGCCATTTTCCCTAATCCAGAATCAATAATAGTATCGTCCCAACACACCGGTAATAACAATGGTGAAAATGTAAATGGCGTTTCGATTTCCAAAATGGCGATATCCCCAGCTAAATTTCCTTCGTATCCGAAATATGCTTTATTAATGTAAATGTTTTTCACCTGAGAAGTAACATATTATTAACATTATTATAATTTATATATTACTTATGTACACACTATTTTAATATTTGATATTTTATTTAATAATAAAATAAATTATTGAAATTGTTCATACTTTAGACTTTTCAACTAATTGCTGATTATAATCATAATCACGATTAGTGTTTCCAGCAGCTACGTAATATTTATCGGGATTCTGTGTCCTTCGGTTCGTTTCATTGTAAACGCAATGCGCTGCAGTAAGAAGTAATTTTTCTGTTATTATTGTTGCTCCGCAAATGAAATCCTTCGATCCGTTTGGAGTTTTTTGTTCATATAAAGAAGCATGCCATGGAAAATCGGAGTTTTCGGTCCGAGGGACTTTTATTATAGTGAGTGGTTGTATATTGTGTTGAACAACACCACAAGCTAAAAGATTGATTAAAATGAAAATTATTATGCTTTTGTCGACAAAAAAACATTTGTATAATAGTACAGATTATATGAACATTTACCTAACGTTCAAAATATCGTTCGTATATGACTTTAGAAAATATTTGTATTATGTATTATAATAAAATTTAACAATATCAATCCAATTTGTTGCAGAATAAATAAATTATTAAAAACATTACCGTAAATATTAATATATAAAAAATAAATAATATCTAATACGCGACTAACATTTGCACGAATTGTATTATAAACTTTATCATTATCAAATTTGATTTAAAGTTATCTCATATCTTTTAATCTTCAAATTTGAAGAAATTTTGTCTAGCATGCTAAATTTTAATTATATATCTAGAAATAAATGTTCCTGAATATATTGTCGGTGCGTGTGGAAATTATGTAAATATAAATCTAATTGTAAGTATTCCTGGTTGTTTATAAACCTCAATAGTAATTAAAGCTCTAACAACGATATCAAAATTATTTGGGGTTCGACTACCCATATTCATTGTAATTTCAAATGACATTACTTTGTACTTTGTAGAGGAAGGATTATTTTTCTTATTATAACATTAAACCATTATGCTACTACCTTTGATATGAACATTAACGCAAAGCAAACCTGATAAACATTGCATTGGTTCTGGTTCCCATTTGCCTCTTTCGTTACATTTAACCTGATTACTTCGTGTTGACAAATCATGTTCATCTTCGTAAAAACCATATCGACAACTCAATACTGCTAATGTTCCATGCAAAATAGGAGACTTGCAAGATACAATTTTACCATTCAATGTACAAACAGCGTCAACTGATCTTGAAACCAGTGATTTGCAAAGTATTTCTAAAATGATAAAAGAATCATTTATGACAAAATTTAAAATATTAGATAAAGCATTTTGTTTATATGTTCATAAATGGTTTGCCACCAAAAAACTAAAATTACACGTGTTACTTTTACAAACTGGAATATTATTCCAATTTCCATTTGATCCACATATTACAGGACTAGAACCCCAAATTTGGGAGCCCGGATTACATTCGTATTCCAAAGAGGATCCAATAGGTAATTCTGCACCTTCTTGTACATCACTAAGTGCATAAGTTTCTAAATTACGTAATTTCCGAATACCATTCTTAGGCTCGGGAGGGGCTAAGCAAGTATTTGCTTTTTCTTCACCACTTGTAGGTTGTATGAATGTTAAAAAGACTAAGAAAAAAAAAGTAATATAAATCAATTATCTTATCATAAGTTCAGAGTTTTTTGAAAACAATATTCTTTGTAAAATCTTCGGTGCATAACGCGATGAGGAAACGGACGAATGGAGAAAACTCCATAACGTAGAAGTACATTGATTGTAGAACAAACCGGACATTATTAAGATGGGCAGGTCACGTGGCGGACATGGGGGAGAATTAACGACCGAGACGTAGATGGGAGGACAATATTATTTCGGGATTTTAAAGAAATAAGATACGAAGACCAGGAATGAAAAGGTCGTGCTCAGGAACGGGAACAATGGCGGGATTTGGTATTTGCGGCAATGAACTTTCGAGTTCACTTTACTTTTTGATCACACCTTATACGTCTCGTCTTTAGTTTCATAAGCTTCGACGACTACTTCTCCCACTTTTTTTCGTTATTATCATGTTAATTCCTTTTTTATCTCAGTACGGTAATTTTTTTATCAGCTTGTAGATTATCGCTTAAGACACGAGTTCTCTGTCACTATGTGCAATTAATCTTATCCTGATACTTATGAGAACTTGCTATCTTTGATAATATAAATAACATTATTCTCTAAGTTCAAGGACCTGTTATAATCATAAGATAATCTGCTTTTTGATTTCTCATAACAAAAGACGTCGTATATGTGTGAATTAAATTATTTAATAATCTATTTATTTTTATAAATATTATATTTCTTTTATTTATTAAAAATACTTTTCATTTTGTGATAATAGGAAACTAAATTTCATTCTGTATAAGTCTGCTGCGATGCAACATTTGTCAAATTCAGTTTATTATTGGACTAAATTAAAAAAAATTTATATTTACATATACAATATGTTAATAAATGTTGAATATATTAGTAGAATTATTAATAGATATTGAAGATTGAAGATTTTTTAAAAGATAAATTTTTACTAGATATATATAGATGTGCTTGCATTTTAATTAAATATAAATTATGGGTTTTTTTTAAAATTCATGTTTATATTTTAAAGAAATAATATTCTGGGATTTTAGTTCTAACCATAGTGTTTTCTATCAAACTCCTCTAATTGTTTTTCTAATAATCTGGAAAAATATTGTTGAACTTATTCAAAATATTGTTTGAAAAACTCACATCATTAAAGACATCTTGTATTATCATTTTAAATAGATCATAAGATGCATATAAATATACATATATTTAGAGTTTATATATAATTATTTCAAAAAATAAAATAATATAATATAATTGTAATACTTACAGCCCAATGCAATTAAAAATAAACACATTTTATCTACGATTTCCATTATAATAAAAAGGAAAATATAGAAAATTAACTCATTCGTGAAAATAATATTTCAAGTTATATCCGTATCGTGTTTTCTGTCATCAAGTAAAATTCATCACTGATTTAACGTTGATCCGGTAATACACTCTGTAACAATTTCATATGTTTACTTTGTATTGCAATCAATATATGTGACTTATTGAACTCATGATTATAATTATGAGATAAAATCATGTCAGAAAGAAACAAGTTTGAAAGAAGCATAAATTAAAGTTATAGCTAAGATTTGTTTAAAATGGTTAGTCGATATATTATAATTATTGTTTAATAATTAATGTATATCACATTCATCTCACGAAAACAACTTTATATAACATATAACATTATAGCCTTTGAAATTTAAGGGTTTAATAAGCTTAAATTGTGTTATCAAAAAATATTCTAGAATTTACAGCACTACATTATTATATTTTGTTAGAATTACATATTAGTGATTTTATGCTAATCGTAATTTTTAATATGCAGTACTTCATTAATCATTGAATATATATTTTTTTGAATTATTTTTTTTTTTGAAATAGCAAATATAATATTGTATCAAAATTGCAGTATGAAATAATTCAAATACTTGCCACTTAAAAAAGTATATTCAAAATTTCAGTAGCGTGACATGCTTGTTCCTTGATTTTCACGTTAGTGATATTTAGATGTGATATTGAGATAAAATTCAAAGACTTCGATCTTTGGCACTGTTATCGAAAATACTTTCACTAGATAGAAAAAATATACGACGTTAAATTATTACGCATATAATCATATTACATTTTTCGCTATTTGTGTGCATATATATATGCTCTGTTCCGAACCTAATCAGTTAGTTCTATTTCTACTATGCTCAACAATAATCCAATTTTTTTCACTTTCTTTTTCCCTGTTTTCCATGATAACATTGCTGGCAGGTTATAGAGAAACATGTAAGTAACCTTTTTACTATTCTAATATCATCATTAGATAAGTTCCATATTTAATTGCGATCATTTGTAAATATCTATAATTTTTTTCCAAACTCAAAGACATTTTATCTATATGAGCAGCCTATTGAAGTGAAAATTTCTTTAGAATGGGAGTGATCTGAAAAGTAAATAAACGGTAACGCAGCTATGAAACGAAGCTATGTAACGAAGCTATGAAACGGCTGCTATACTAAATAATGAGAGAAAAAGAGACAAACATATAGGATTTAGCTTGCGAGAGAATGAGACGGAATACAGCTATACAGTATATGTGTGTGTTTGTGTGCGACTGCATACTACAAAGTGTGGACACGTATTCTTTCGATACTCGAAATGTTTGTAGATAGGAGCGATAGAAGCGTACAAGAATAAACAGAGATAAGCACGTAGGTATGCGACAAAAGTATAACGTCCAAACCAACCGACGGTTGAAATAAATAAAGAAGGTGCGTGGTCTGTTTTTATTTTACCAAACGTGGTATTTCTTTTCTATTTAAAAATGTTTCTATTTTATTAAAAAATTAATATTAAATTATTTATTTCGCAAATATTGTAATTAACAATTACAAAATATATCGAATACAATAATTGTATTGTCTGCAATATTTTACAAAAAAGAATGAAATGATTATCAGATACATCAGAGAAAAAAAATTAAACAACATTTTAGAATATTTTTCTTATAAATATCCAAAGGCATGTTTTTTAATTATAATGTTTGCGTATTTAGGAAATTTATAGTAATTTTTCAATAAAATAGAAAAGTTTTTAAATAGAAGAAACTAGACACGTTACAAAAACAAATAAACCTTATTTACTTTATATTTTCAATAAGAATAAAATAATATAACTTATTTTACAAATATAGAAAAAAAAATACAGAAGATAAATTTAAAAAAAAATGTTAAATATTATAAAATAAAAATCAAAAACTCGGAATATAAGCAATCTCAAATGCTTTATTGATGCATAACATAAAGTTGCACAATAACCAGGTGCAACTGGAAAATAATAAATGACGAATGGTATTTAGCCAATGATAATTAGCCACTTTCAAAATAAACTCTTCATCATTCCGTTGATCGGCAAATTTTCGTGTTACAATATCTTCATGATTTTAAATATATTTGTAAAAAATTGCTTTAGAATGAAAATATCATGTAAAAATGTACAGTAACTATTACGGTAGCTAATACGATTTTTTTTGAAAATGGTGGTAGTCAACTTTCAAAATAAACGGCCCATATATAGAAAAATTCAGTGTCACATTATTGGTTTGCAATGATATTCCCAAAGTATTGAACCGATATTAATGAAATTTTTTTTATTTTGTGTGATTTTATCTAACTTAAAATATAGGATAGTTTTTAGCGTTATTTTTATTTTTTTTTATTGTTAATTGAAAGATTTATTATTTAGAAGTTATCCAGGTTTTTAGGTTCGTAAGTTTTATATAGATGACACTGTGTTACAATTTAATTATTTCAATTTATTCACATTACACGTATTTTTCAGATTTACATATAACATAATTAACCTTGCTTTTTATATTTTTTTGTCTATTATTATTTTATTTATTCCATTTTAATTTTGGTACTATTTTGTATGTTGTTATAGTTTACTACGAAAACTATGCGTTGCTGTTGCTTCGCTTTGTTTTAATACGTTTATTTGAAAATAATACTAAATTATTTAATGCAGTCTAATTAATATTCTAATATAAATTTAAAATCGTACGAGTAATACTGTCTTTTTTTTCTCATTTAATAAGTTTCAAAATTAAACAATGTCTATTTACGGCTTAGACTTAAAAAAATAAAAATTAAAAATTGTAATTTGGTAAAATTTTTATAAAATTAAAATCTTTATAAAATTAAAATTTGTACAAAATTAACATTTCATATAAAATTTTAATTTTTTTAAAATTAAATTTTAAATAAAAATTAAAAAAAAAATTTAAATTTAATTTTAAAAATTAAAATTTTACTTAAGTAAAATTTTATACGAAGTAAAAATTGTACTAAGGTAAAATTTGTATAAAATAAAAAATTTTATATCAAATAAAAGTTTTACCAAGAGGTAATTTAATTTGTATAAAATTAATCATAAAATTTGTTTTTATGCTTAAATTTTGCTCTATGCTTTATTTTATTTATTATTTTTTTTAAAGCTAAATACTTAAATTTTTATCTCCAAAAATTATAAGCGAATATTAATTTGATTGTATTAAATAGTTTTAGAAATAATGCAATATTACATCAACGTTGTATAACAAAACCACAACAATGCATGAGCGGAGCATTGTAGTAAGATTGTAAGTTTTATAAGTTAATTTCTACTCACACGTGTTTTATAAATTTAACGAAAACAAAATTAGCCTAAGGTCTACGGACAAATTGTAAAGCCAAAAATAATATAATAAAAAAATACACGATAACATCTAATATTATAATATTTATGGAATTCGTTGTTCACTTCAAAAGTAAAATACATTCGACGTGCGAATATACAGTACATTGATTACCGGTTCATATTGATAGCTTCATTTCATATTTATAAAACAAATTGAAAAATTAACTTTACATTAAAATTAGTCAAATGCAAAGCTACGTTGGATTATTAATTTTTCGTTAAATATTAAAATTATGAAATGTCAGTAAGTTTAATAACATTAATAGATTATTTGTTTGGAAAAACAAAAAAAAACAAAAACTGTTTACTGTTGATTTCAGAAATGGGATAAAAAGACAAAGTCCCTTTAATAGTATTAAATACATGTAAAAAGTTGATCGCAGAAAAGTAACCCCGGATCCTTTACAAGCGAGAATATTACTTTATAAAATTTATTTTATTTTTTATAATATACATATATATATATATATATTTTATAAAGAAATAATTCTCTTTAAAACCATCAAACAGCTTTCTGTGACTGAATCTGAATATAATTGAAACCATCATTTTCTTTTTTTTTTTTTTGCCTTTTTTTCCCATCTGACTTATCTTATAGTAATAGTAATTGTTATTTAATATTTTAGATATGTATATATAGATATTGTTTTTTAATATAATATAAGTGTAAAAAAACTTCGAAAATGTCTTGATTTAAAAGGAACAGTTTTGGTTTATCTTTTCTCTATTTCTATTATTATTATTATTATTATTATTATTACTTTAATATTAGTCTGATAATAAAAGCGAATATTAAATAATATTACTTATGTTGCTCACACCTTATGAGTCATGAATTAAAACACATTTTTTTGTCTTGCTTCTAAATCTAACGCCATTGTTTGTGCCTCAAGTAAAAACCTCGGACATTTGATTTCAAGTAAAACTCTGAAATCGTAATTTAAACCAGAAATGTATTCCTTCAATCCATTATCTTTTTCAATAGACATATAAGTATTCTTTTGACACAAAGTTAAATTTTCATTCTCATAAATAGTTCTTAAAACATTTTGTTCAGCTCGTAGAAATTTTTTATTATACGTTAACACTGAATCAGTTCCTTGAGTGCATCTTTTCCTAATCGTTTTATAATGAACAAATTTGTTTATATCTTTATAACACAAACGAAGTTTTTGAAAAAAATCTTCTATCGAAGAAATGACAAATTTATCTAATAAAGTTTTAGCAGCTCCCTTTATTTTATATGCATAAACTAATTTGATAAATAAAGTCTTTTCTCTTACAGTAAGAAGATTTAATACAAATTTAACATCATTAATAAATCCTTCTACATATCTATTGGATCCATTGAAGTCACTTATAAGACTTAAATGTTCTTTTAAACTGCGATTAATGTTGGATATAGTATCAGTAGAAAATAAAGGTTTATCTGTTTCATTTGTTACTTTTAATTGAATATGTACAGGTTTATCGTCTGTATTTTCGGATTTTTCTGTCTGATTTTTATAATTAGCAATATCTATATTTTCTGGTAAAGTTTTTTTTGAATTATATGTATTCATTCTATGGATGAAATTATTCGCCGTAGTTTTTAATGAGTCAATCTTTTTAAATATATCCTGATAACTTGTTTCGGAAAATTTCGATGATTCTTCATCATGTCTTATATCTTCCTCTCTTAATGTCTGTGTTCCTATGAATCGTCTATTTAATTCATCGATTAAAATATAACAATTCAATGTAAATCAATGTTTCAATTAGATATTAAACATTTATTTTTATTAATAGTATTATGTTATAATAAGAATTGTTTCGTACTTACTTTAAATTCGTTTCAAATGTCTTCCAAGATATTATCTCCATTTGACGTAAGATTATCACGTATGGTAATACGTAATTTCTTTTTATATCGATGATATATTATTAAATTGACGTTACAATTGTAATATGAAAAACTCGACGGTCGATTGAAGATTTTTTTTTCTTTTTTTTTTTGCGCTTAAAACCGAAATAATCGTAAGAAAATGGAATAATTTGATATAAATGTAAAAGTCTTATTAAGAAATACGTTAAGAAGGCTCACGAATAAACACAAGAATAAGAATAATAAATATAAAAGTATCCTCATATGTTATACAATAGATGAGAGAGGAAAAGAGAGAGAGAGGAAGTGGGGAAGGATTTTAGAGAAAATGGTGGGGCTTTCAAGGATTCCTTAAGAGATTAGAATCCGATTTGTTGACCTTCGGTGCTACATCTAAACAAAAACAATTTTTTTTACCGTACATTAAATATACATATTAATGTGCTAATTAAACAAAACAAAACAAAACAAAAAGAAAATGACAATATAAGCAAGACAATACTTTTAGGAAATTGACAAATTTATGGCATTTATTAGAACGCTACGTTGAATGTGGTCAACGATCTTCGAGTTGGACTGATTTGCATTTTCATTAACAATTTTAAAATGCTTGTAAATGTACCTATCGTTATTTAGATTCGAAAAATCGTTAATGCGTGTTTTTGATTCATTGAAAAAACTTGGTTGAAAGTTATCATCAAAATTTAAATGAATTTACTTAGTGATAGTTTTACATCAAACTGTCGAAATAATAACAATAAAATAGTTAACTTTATAAATAGTTAAAAAATAAAGAAATATATATATATATATATATATAAGGGTGGGTCAAAAAAATGACTTATTTATTATAAGATGCGCAATACAAATTTTTTTAGGAAATTAAGTGCTCTATAAAAATGGTGTCTTATGTTTTGGCGATTAAATTAAACGTTCAAATGATATTCAGAGACAAAAGTCACTACACATGAAAGTTTGATGATGAATATCTTTTGAATGCTTAATTTAATCACCAAAACATAAGACACCATTTTTATAGAGCACTTAATTTCCTACAAAAATTTGTATTGTGCACTTTTTAATAGTCATTTATTGTCGAGTTATAAAATTCATAAGCAAAAATGAGATTTGTCTAAAAATCATYAAATTTAAATCTTCAATATCAYTCAAATGGTGAGGTTTACGGAAAAARTATAAGATACCTTTTTTGTAGAGCATTAAATTTCCTACAAAATTTGTCTAGAACATTTTTCTGTACAATCAATAAATAATGAGGTATGAATTTTAATCTATTGGACTGAACAAAAAAATAAAAAACTGCGATGCGGAGGATCTTCCTATTAAAATTAAGAGCTCATATTGGGTGAAAATTCTTTTAAGGTGTCTAGCAACCCATTTTTTCATGGCACTTGTAAAAAAAAAATAATTGATTTTTTTGACCCACCCTAATATATATACAATAAACATGTGCTCTGAGGTTTTCTTATTTATTGCCCATGGTGTGTATACTTTTTGTCTGCTCGCGTAGATGGAAAATGGCAACTTCGTTTTGCACTTTGTTGACACTTTCCGCACGGAGTGATGAAAATATCATTTTGAATGTTAAAATAAAAAATTCTTGTTTCTTTTCAAGCCTCCTAATCAAACCCAAGACTCGATATATCATACGGTTTTAATACCCAAAATAAAATATGAACTTTACTAATCTATGTCAACATTATCTTTTAAATTCGATAACCGACAATTAAGAGAGATTATCTCAATAAATAAGATAACGATATAATATAAGAGATAGTAGAGAGAGAACGATATAATTCAAAGTAATGATTCGTCCAATATAAATAATAAAAAGTTGAGTTAGCAGCGTCGAACATTATTCATTCTTCCGTTAGCTGTCTAATTGCTCGGTTTAGTCAAAATTTAGAACGAATTTACTCCACTAATTCAACTTTCATTAATTAATAATTCGATTATTTTATTATTTATCGTTAATTGTCATTATTATTCGATTTTCTATCAATCTATTTTGTTATTTCATTATTTATTTGTAAAAGTTTGTATCTGACTTTATTAGTTTGCATTTCTTTATTTGTAAATTACATAGATCTAATTTCAACTTTTTATATATTATTATTGTAATACGTATTGTTAACGAACTACTGTTTAATTGTGATTAAAATTTAATTCAATTATTAAATATCATATTATATTATTTTTTATAACGTTAATTTTGTCTGACTGAGAACTCGAAAAAGAAGTATAAAGTGTACTTTATTTTGTTATTGTTAAAATAGTAATTTGTAAAATAAGTGATCAGTGATAAGTGTCTCCTACATCAGTCATGTAAGTTTCCTCCTACAGTCTTTTGATATTTTTATTTTTCTTGATATTTTACTATCATTTTACATTGGGTCATCAACCGATATCCGCTTGTGTTTGTCTCATTCTCCTTTGTTAGTCGAGAATGCATTAATTGGGTATTTTAAAATATACATAAGCCGTTTATTTTGAAAGTAAAAAATCGAATTTGCTATGTTGATTTTTATTCTGACACAACTTGTTATTAATATATTTAAAATTATTTAAACGAAAGTTAGTTGTTTAATTTTATTTATTTTTAATCGAAATTTTTTTGAATCCCTGTTATTGAGAAAAGAAAGAAATTGAAAAGGAAGCATTTAACATACCAAAGTTAAATAAAACATGTTCAATCGCGATAAAACTTGGCTTTTTTTTTGCACATACGTTTGAATAACACTCGTTTATTTTCTTTGAAATTTTTTTAAGAAATGTTATTTATTCGTGTTTTTTTTTTTTTTTTGTAGTAAAAAAAATAATCAGGATAATATCAAATAAACTTCAACCTCATTTTTTCCAAAATTGGCTAGCTTTGCTCTAGTAATTTTAATAAAACAATATTAATTTCAATGTGAAAATTATTTAACAAACTTTAAAAGTGAAATAATATTTGTTGATTTTATAACATAAAAGTAACAGATTTATTTTTATGAATTTATGTTTTATTATGAATTAAAAATGTCATTTTTCATTGATTTTAAAAGTGGCCCAAATCCAATCATAGTCATCAAAAACATTATTTCTTGAATAACGTTAATTATGCTAATTGGGATGATAAATTTGACACTATTAGAAACCCAAATACATTGCTTTACTATATATGTCATCTGATACCTATTTTTTAAAATTTAATCTTAAGCAAATCATGAAATATTTCAATTCGAACACAAATTGACTTACGTCACTTTCCAAATAAACGGCACATACATATATTCTGTTAAGAAAAATTTAACTGTTGGTTTAATAAACCAACTATTCATATTTGATTTAAATTAAAAGTTTTAAATATCATGTTTAAATTTAGAAGCTTAACAGCCACTTGACCAAGACTCAATAGGTACAAAATAAAACTTTTGTATTCTTGAAAAAAAGAAAAAACAAGAAAAATTACTGTCTAAGTATATTTCAATAATTATGACTATCTCTAATTAAAAATCTAGACTTAAAGACAGCTATCAGTATAGTTTTTGATATGAATGAGAGATTAATACTATCTCTAAGTGATAACCTTAGTTTTGAGTTCACAGACGATTATCGGCAGAGGAATATTCATTCATTCGTTTATCGAAGAAACAAGCGGATTCTTTTAATCGTAAGATTTCGATGTGACCTCTATGTGAATCTCTAACAAGATCGTTTCCTAGTTCTTTTAAGATTATCTCGCATAAGCGTCAGTTACAGCAAATTGTAAGAAAAACAGTTTTTTTTTTTTTAATAAAATTCAAAAATTCATATTTTTGAAAAAAACAAAAAACGCAGTGTCAAAAATTACAGGATCTCTTAAGATTGGTACAAGGTAGTGTAGACAAAAATTTGAACTAAAAATTTATTGTCGATTGTCAGTTTTGAAAAGTTTAAAAAATTCACAATTTCATAAAATCGAGATTTTTCAAACATTTTTTTTCGAACAAATTTTTTTTTTCATAGCCTCAAGTATCCTCTTTAAAACAAGCCGTAAGTTATTTTTTTTTTGTAATTGCAATAGTCTTCGAGATATTTAAAACATAGGTTTAAAAAACAAGAAAAATAATGAAATTTTGAATTTTGTATAACTTTTGGCAACAATTTTTTAAATTTTTTTCCTTTAGCAAAACTTCGTTATAGGATAAAAGAAAACTTCTGACCAAATTTCGTTCAAATCGAAAGGGGTCGATTCCAACTATTGATCGATTTGACGTGNTCGAAATTTCTATTTACAATAATACGTTTCGCCCAGAAACAAACGAAACTTTTAAAATAATTTTACTTGAATTTTAAGCATATATCTCGTACGGTGCCCCCCCCCTATATGTTTATATTTAATGAAAAAGAAAAAAAAAATTATTAAACAATTTTTCTTGTACACTTTTAAAAGTATCATAAATTTTAATTTTTATAATAATCATTGACAAAAGAATGAAAGTATTTAAAAAATATTATCTTTCAATATAATAATTAATACGTAAGATTGCTCTTGTTGCATTTACAGATCATTCATCTAATTTTGAATATTTTTCAGATTTAACGATGTATTCTATCTTGTTAAGTTCAATTTTACTTTTATTTTTATTACACTGTTGGATAAGATATAGAAGAGCGGGAAAATTTTTAAGTCTTATTCCGGAACCTCCGGGATATCCGATAATTGGGAATATGCATTATTTTCAAGTTGACAATGGTAAGGAATGTTATAAAATATTTTTCTTTAATAATTATACACAATAAACTATGATTCTTCTTAGTAAATAAAGTTCTCATCTAATACTAACTTATTATTAATAATATAGAAAAATTACTTTACCAACTATGGAGATTAAGTGATGAGTATTATCCAATTTTCAAAATATGGAGCTTCTTTCTTTGTACAGTATTTATATTCGATCCAGATGATATTCAGGTAAATTATTATAAAATTAAAAAAAAAAAAAAATTTTTTTTAATTTTATTTCTTGTTTTTTTTTTGATGTACAGAAAAGCTACATGTGTTCTACATCATTCATTGCCAAAAATAAATAGTCAAATATATTTTATACTAGCCCAAAAATTTAAAATTGCTTTAAACAAAACATAGCAGGATTATCAATGTATCTTTTTATAATAATATTTTTAAAAGACTATTCTCAATTTTTCCTAACTCATTTAACGTAATACAAATTCCAACATTAAATGTAAATCGAAAAATCAATGTAAATAAGTTAAAAAGAATAAATTGTATATCCTAGGAACTACTGAAGAGCAATGAACATATTGAAAAAGGAATTTTGTACAAACCTCTTATACCCTGGCTTTCTTATGGACTACTAATAAGCAACGGTAAGCAATTTAAATTATTATTATTATTGTTATTATTATTATTATTATTAATATTATTAATTGGCACTAGGAAATCGAAAGTTCATTACTACAAATACCAAATTCCGCCAGTGTTCTCGTCCCTGAGCACGACCTTTTCATTCCTGGTCTTCGTATCCTATTTCTTTAAAATCCCAAAATAATATTGTCCTCTCATTTTCGTCTTTTATGCGCCGTTCGATTCTCCTCCATGTGCCCCACGTGACGTGCCTATCAAAATCGGCGTTATTTTACAAAGTTAATGATATCCGGTTTATTGTACAGCCGGTGTATTTCTACATTAAGTACTCCTATCCATTCCCCCGTTTCATCATTGCGCGTTTTGCATAGAAGATTTTAGAAAGAAGAATTTTATTTTCGAAAACCCTCAATTTCTTTTCGTCCCGTAATGTAAATGACCACATTTTGCTACCATAAAGGACTACTGGCAAGATGATTGTTCTGTATATCCTAATTTTTAAGCTTCTAGACAGCAACCGCGATCTGAGTAATTTATTGACCGAATAAAAGTACGCATTGCATGAATTGATTCTTTTCTTAAGTTAATTTTCATTACTCTAAAGCAAATTTTTAAAACCAAATACTTAGTATTAAATGTCTCAAATGATGCAATTAAAACGAGCTTTTTATAAATACGTTTTTATTCGTTCAAGCCTTACAAAAAGACACTAGTTTTTTCTTTTTTTTTTTACAACATTTTTATCTGTTATTTTTTCAATTAGAGTTTTCGATTTTCCTAACTGTGATAAATATTTAGAGTAAATTCGATCTGTACAATTACTTCGAAGAAAACCCGATTGATAAAAGGGCAAATATCCCAGACCGTTTATTTAAGTTATATCAGTGCAAACGAAATGTAGTGATAACCGGCTAACTAGGGATACTGCCTAGTCCTTTTTTTGCTAATTAATATATACATTTAAACTTCATGGGCACATATATTCCTATAAACCTTTACAATCGCAAGTGATTGGAAAGCGATTTAATCTGAAGCTTTACAATATATTTAATAATATTTTGAATATAATGTTGTTTTTTTTTGACAGGTGAAAAATGGCACTTACGGCGAAAAATGTTAACTCCTGCATTCCACTTCAACATCCTTAAACATTACTTTATCAATTTAATTGAAGAATCAAAAGATCTTGTCGAATCTCTTCAAAAAGAGGGAGATGGAAATCCTATTATCAAAGATCTACGAACATTTATTAGCAAGTACACTCTAAACGCAATATGCCGTAAGTGAAAAGAACCATTTTCTGTATATTTAACAATTAGCCTAACGAAATTAATTTTTTGTCAAATCTTGTTTGTAGAAACAGCTATGGGTATCCAATTGAACGGAGAAAACGAACTGGAATCTGAATATCGTCAGGCCGTTCATGTTTATGGCAGCATTGTTGCATATAGGTAATTTATTAATCTTTTTTTAAAAAATCAAGTCACTAAAACAAAAAATATAATTTATTTGTTATTAGATCTTTTAGACCTTGGTACTTGTCGGATACAATATTTGCATTTTCACCAATTGCTAGAGTACAAAGGAAAACGTTGAAAACGTTACACGATTTTTCAAGAAATGTACGTCTATTTAATACAATTTATTTCTAAATCGATGTTTTCTAAAAAAAATCTTGATTCAAACAAGTGCTTTTTATTTATTAAGATAATTGCTGAAAGGAAACGTTTTCATGAAAATACTAATGGGAAATATTTGCAAATCAATGAGAATATTGAGGAGGATAACGTTTTTAATAAATATTCGGAAAAGGACAGTAAGTTTTTCGAATTTTTTTTAAATAAGATTAAAATTTAATCGAGAAAACAAGGTCAATAGAATTTTTATGTTACAGATTTTCAATCCAAGAAAAAATTATCTATGCTAGATCTGCTTATAGCTGCATCTTGGAGCAATAATCAAATAGATGAGGAAGGAATTCGCGAAGAAGTTGATACTTTTATTTTTGAAGTAGGTTCTCTTGTCAATGTACTTTTTTTTTTTTAAGAAAAAAAGTTAAAAAAGTGTTATTTAAAATAAAATTTTTCAGGGCCACGATACTACAGCAAGTACACTGTCATTTGCTTTGAGTCTTTTTGCTAAGCACAAAGATGTCCAGGTAAAGTAACCAGAAAAAATTATCAGTTGAAATGATTAGCGAACAATAATCAATTAATTTTTTATACATGTATAATAATTAAAATAAAAAATTAATTATTAAATCTTTTCACTAAGTTTAGGGACTTGTTACTAATACTAATTAATTATGATAGTAACTGAAAATAAGTTTAATTTAAAATAAAATTCTAACAAAAATTACTATGACTTTTAAAGTTGTTTTTTTTTTTTTTTTACAGTTTATATAATAAATAATAAGTTACATGTTTATTGCTAGGAAAATATAAGAGACGAGGTTCAATCGATTATGCAAGAAGATAATCTAACGATATCGTCACTTTCAAAACTTTCGTATTTGGAGAGATGTCTAAAAGAATCTTTTCGCTTGTATCCAAGCGTCCATATAATATCTCGACGAATTTCTGAAGATATGCAGCTAAGTATGAAATTATATGAATATATATGTATACTTATATAGATGTATTGTTTGTGTAATATTGATTTTTTATTTTCTTAACTATAGAATCATGTTAATTTTTCAGAACGTTATTTAATTCCGTCTGGTACGTATTGTAATATAAACATTTACAGCGTGCATAGAAATCCGGAATATTGGCCAAATCCAAATGTTTTCGATCCGGATAGATTTTTACCAGAAAATATTAAAGGACGTCATCCTTATTCCTACATACCATTTAGTGCTGGCCCGAGAAACTGTATTGGTAAATGGCTTATGTAGAAATGATTTGAACAATTTAAAAATTGTTCTTTTTATTCTTGTATTTTTCATTTTGCAGGTCAAAAATTGGCGATGCTTGAGCTTAAACTCTTCGTAGCTTTTATATTGTACAATTTTAAGTTAGAACCGGTGGATGAACTAGATGATGTTAAATTTTCGGCTGATATAACTCTTACCTCGACTAAACCATTGCGAATCAAATTTATACCAATTTCATAGATATTATTATATATATTATCTTTTACAAAATTAAGAAAAATTACGGCCATGATACTAAGAAGAGATAAACATATAGGATTGAGCCTGCGAGAGAATGAAACAGAATATTGAGATCTCTAGTAGGGATCCTATAGGAGGGATGCGCCATGTACATTGCTGGGCAGTGTTCCCAGAGACTTTAGTTCGTCTGATCGACACAGGGGTGTAAAATTATCGTACGCCACGGGAAAATTTGAAATTCGACAATTTCTCGGACGAAATTTTCAAAATGTGGAAAAAGTGTCCAAGTTCCAACTTTTTCAAAGTTGATGACCCTTTTTTTTTTTTTAGTCATCAAGTTCAAAACCCTATCATGAAAACGAAAAAAAACGGCGGTCCGCAGGGAGATAGACTTGTTCGTACACGGATCGTACACGGATCGTATCGTGGTGGTGGTGGTGGTAGTGGTGGGAGTGCACCTTTCCTAAATTTGTTGACTAAAAAAAAAAAGGGTCATCAAGTTTTCGAAATTCCAAATGGATCGTACACCACGAATTTTGGATCGTACAGGGCCTCAAATTATCGTACGAATGGGATCACTGTTGCTGGGGGACCGGAACTCGATTTTGCGCGCGAATGATTCAAACATTAAAATAATTATGAAATAATGAATTGCATCAAATACAGAAAAAAAATAGAATAGGTTACACGAAAAAATTATTATAAATTCAAGCGGTCCCCCAAAATTTTCAGCCAATGGCGCATCCCTCCTACAGGATCCCTAATCTCTAGTAGAGCACTATAGAGATGAGTACTCTCATCCGCCATTTTTGCTCCTACAGAGAAGACACCAGTATGATTTTGTATAGTAAACACGTTTGTTGACATCAAGCGAGATTGAATTATTTATTGATAATTGTATTAAATTTCATGAAAAATATTATTTGATAGTTGATGTTAGTACTTAACCTTTCTATTTTTAACATTAAAAGATAGATTAAACTACAAAATACTATTCAGTGATTGATTTATAAACATGGATAACTTCTCTATTTGGAACGTTTCAGTAATAATTTGGTAAGTAATGTTTTAATATTACTCTGAAAAATAGATAATCTGTTTAAATTATAAAAATACTGGATTTGTTTAGTAATATATATTAAATATATTGAATAACATATTACGAATAAAAGCTTAATAACTCTTATTTTTATTTTAAAACAGATGAAAAGTATGCCAGTAAAAAAGGAAGACAACAACAAAAGATCAGTCGCTGCTAAAAGCAAAATGGTATTATATTCTTATTTTGAAACATTAATTATTTATGTTTATGTTATATAAATATGTAAATTAATTGTAAATTTAAAAATAATAATTGTATTTTTTTTTAGGAGTATGAAAGTGGAATAAAATCTGTTGACGAAGAGACCATTATGTCTTTGCTTGCTGAAAATCTATCTATATGAAAATCTATGAGGGCTCAAATAGAGAGAATAAATGCAATTTTAAAAGAATATAAATCGTATTTAGCAGCTTCAGAATATTTAAGCAAATACAATGTTTCATAATCATGAACTTAATTAAACATGGTAAAAATTGTATATATTTAAAAAAAAAAAAGTAATGAACTGCACATAGCATAAGTGAGTAGTTAGAATTGTACATTTAAAATAAAATAAATTTGTATCATTTATATGAATATATTTATATTTATTTATTCATTTGTTCCGTTGTAAAAATATTATAAAATTATAAATAATAAAATTAACGTCATTATTAACAATGCACAATGTATGTGCAGCAAATGCATAAATTAAATGTTTAAAATTCTTCATTTCATAGTCGCAGATCCATATACTTTGGTATGACGTTTGCAGTTCTCATAATAATTTTTCACGTAATACTAACGAACATTGAAAAAATGTATAATTATTTTGTACTTAACACAGCAACAATTTGGAAAATCAATGTTGATTTTCTCAAATAATACTTTTAGTAAATCAAATGTATTTTTCAATATGTTTTCAGACAGAAATCACTAGTTGTCTACGACTATTACACGATTTCAATAAAATTTCTTCTTCATTCATTCATAAATAATTTTAAAAATTGCAAAAAATAACGATAAAACTCACAGACTAACACTCACTACATATGTCTTTTTAAAACTGTCCGCTTACTCGAGGAGCAAAAATGGCGGATGAGAGTACTCATTTCTATAGTGCTCTAGCCACGCCCCTGCCAGAGATCCCAATAGCTATACAGTTTTTCCTATTCTCGGTCTCCTCTTTATTCTCTGCTTCGTAGTTATCGCTCCTGGTTGTATATGTGTGTGTTTGTGTACGACTGCATACTACGAAGCGTGGATTCATATAATTTCGATACTAAACCTGTTTGTAGGTAGAAGCGTTTATTATTTTTTATTCTCTGCTTATTATTTTTGCTATTTATTTACAAAGTTTAATTTTTAGACTCTTTAAATCAATATTTATGTTTTCTAGAAATAATATCGCTGCGAAACTGTTTGTTGAAATTGATAATATTTTAACTTACTACAAATCATTATAATATTTCAATAAGTAYCTACGAATACTTTCTAATATACGAACAACTCGATCTTTTCTGTAAATTCTCTCAATGTGCTCCCTCGTTGTTCGTTTGTCTGAAATTGTTCTGTGATCATCTAAATGCACTAACCGGTGCAATCTTTTCTTTTATTATATTTCCAGAACACACATTCAGACAAGACAACATACATACACAGCAGCAATCGTAAACAATATATTGTTTCCAGATCCATGCAAATCAACTTTTTTTTCCAAAAATCATAACGTATATATGATCTAACATATATATGTATATTTTTTGTCAATTTAATTATACAATATCTAAATAAATATACATATTTAAAAAATACTAAATTGCGTATTTATTATTTTTTTATAAATAAAATATAAATTTAAACAAAGTCAATTAAAAGTTCATTTTGTTCTTTAAAATTATTCACGACTTTTTAATATATTTTCTACAAAAGATATAAATGTTTATTATTCTGTAAAAAGTAATATGCATAAAAATACCTATGAAATTGGTATAAATTTGATTCGCAATGGTTTAATCGGGGTAAGAGTTATATCAGCCGCAAATGTAACATCATCCAGCTCATCCACCGGTTCTAATTCAAAATGATACAATATAAAAGCAACAATGAGTCTTAGCTCGTGCATTGCAAAGTTTTGACCTGAGAAATGACAAATACAAGAATAAAAATAATAATTTTTAAATTGTTCTAGTTATTTCTACATAAGCCATTTACCAATACAGATTCTCCGCCCAGCACTAAATGGTATGAAGGAATAGGGATGACGTCCTGTACTATTCTCCGGTAAAAATCTATCTGGATCAAAAACATTTGGATTTGGCCAATATTTTGGATTTCTGTGCACGCTGTAAATATTCACTCCAACGATCGTACCAGATGGAATTAAATAATGTTCTGCAAAATTAATACACAAGTACATAGAAAATAAAATAAAAACCTAATAGTACAAGTTTTGTATTAACCAATTAACCGTGGCGCTCCGTTTTGAAAGTGTTCATCGCTGTGCATAGCACAAATTGACCGATGACGATTACATTCGTCAAACACAGAGTAAGTGTCGCTGGGATGTCCTATATAACTCTTCACGATTTTTCAAGTATTTGCGATAACCTTACATAAATATACTTTAAACATAAGGTAATCTATTTTTGATTGACTATACATTGCAATAAATGCGGGACACATGAGTTCATGTCTAATTTTTCATAATTTTTATTTGTTCTTTTTTATCCCGGCGTAGCCTTAAAATATTCTAAATATCTTGAAATTTAATAATACATTTAGTTTTTTACAAAAAATACAATTTAAAAAGTCAAAGGTCATAACTTTATGCGCATGACAAATGTACTCGTCATGACACAAAATTCTGACACTTCTTCATGAAGTGTATGCTCGTCAAACACAGTTAACTGGTTAAAGAGTATGCGTATAAATGAATACAGATTTCATACTTAGCTGCAAATCACGAAAAATTTTCCGAAAAATCACATGGACGCTTGGATATAAACGCATTGATTCTTTCAAACATCGGTTCAAATACGAAAGGTTTGAAAGTGATGACATCGTAAAATTATCATCTTGCATAATCGATCGAACCTCGTCTCTTATATTTTTCTAAAAACAAATACGTCATTAATTACTTATTGGATAGGCTATATATGAAAAACGCTAAATCTAAAAAACTTTGTAGATCTTAATAATTATTTGAGTACCGATGAAACTTATTTTCATTTAATATCATTATTAATTAGTATTAGTAAAATGTCCCTAAACTTAGTGAAAAGATTAATTTTATATATTATATAAATAAATTCTTATTTTAATTACTATAAATGTATAAAAAAATAAACAATTATTTCTTAATAATCATGTAAAGTGATAGTTTCATTTGGGAACATTACCTGGACACTTTTGTGCTTAGCAAAAAGACTCAAAGCAAAGGTTAGTGCACTCGCAGTAGTGTCGAAACCCTAAAAAGTATCATTTTATAGAATATTATTAAACTTTGTTCTTGTAAGTAACTACTTTTACGAAAACCCACTCCAAACATGAAAGTATCCACTTCTTCTCGAATTCCTTCCTCATCTATTTGATTATCTTCCCAAGATGCAGCTATAAGCAGATCTAGCAGAGAAAGTCTTTTCTTAGAATACAAATCTGTAACATAAGAATTCTATAGACCTTATTTCTTCAATTCAATTTTAATCTTATTTAAAAAATTCGAAAATACTCACTATTATCCTCCTCATTATTCTTATTGATTTGCAAATATTTCCCATTAGTTTGTTTATGAAAACGTTTTCTTTCCGCAATAATCTTAATGAAAAATAATACTTATTTAAATGTAAATATTTTCTGAAAATGTAAACTTTAAATAGACAGTATGCTAAAAACGTACATTTCTGGAAAAACTGTGCAACGTTTTCAAATTTTCTTTTTGTACTCTACTAAGTGGTGAAAATGCAAATATACTATCGAAGTAGTACCATGGTCTTGACAATCTAATAAACAATAAATAACATTTTCTATTTAACTACATTTTTTTCTCTAAACATATTGATGACTTACCTGATTGAAGAAATTCTAACAAACTCATGAATGGCATGAGGATATTTAATTTCTAGTTCGTTTTTTCCCGTCAGTTCAACACCGAAAGCTGATTCTACAAAAAAAAAAAAAAAAAATGTGGCAAAAAGTAAATTTAGCAAGATTAATTATTACATATACAGAAAATCGCTTATTTTACTAACTGCATATTATGTTGAGAGTGTGTTGGCCGATAAAACTTTTTAAATCTTTGACAATGGGATTTCCATCTGCTTCCTTTTTAAGACATTCAACCATATTTTGTGATACCTCTATTATATTGGTAAAGTAATGTGGAAGGATATCTAAGTAAAATGCAGGTTTTAACATTTTCCGACGTAGTTTCCATTTTTTTCCTGTAAAATTCGGTTATATATATATATAGAATAGTGATAAATATATTGAAAGGTTTCATGAAAAATTTCATTTCTTTTTCTTTTAATTGTAATGATCTATAAGATTATATTTGTACTTGGTGTTATTTTTATAAACGATAAAAGCATTAGGAAATATTTAGGAGAGTTTGCAGACTGTCACGACATTTCACTCGTACTGTAAGAGAATAAATAAACGATTATAATAAAATATAAAACCTGACAATAAAACAGAAATATAAAACCTGACAATAATAAATCAAAACTATTCGGAAAATATCTATTCCGTCCATTGTTTGAATAATTAAAGGATGACGCAACCATGACGCAATTATGACGCAACCATGATGTATAAAACTGTATCGTAGCCGGTTTTCTCACCAGTTTGACTTTCGTTGACCTTAAAAAATATTAATGTTGCACACCGTTAAATTTGACATGACAACTGCTATCCGAAAATAAGTATTAAAATATAAAAATGTGTTCAAAAAAATATAGTTGACCAATAAAATAAAACATGCTATTGTCATTATGTAGTCCTAAATTTTTCCTATAGCTCTTTCTCTATCCACTTTTCTGCTACTATCATTTTTTCGGAGCTATTTAGGTGGCAAGGGCTGGTGAATCACCCTGTATATTGATTATGAAATTTTGGTTAGTGATTTAAATTGCTTACCGCCGCTAGTTAATAATCCCGTAGAAAGCCAGGATTGAATAAGATTGTACGGATATCCTTTTTCAATATGTTCATTGTTGCCTAATAGCCCCTTAGAAAAAAATTACAATTTTGTAACTTTATAAGAATATACTTTTTCAATATACGTTTAATTATTTAGGGTACAAATTTTTCTTTTTATAAATATCGAAGTTTATTTTATCATTATCTAAAAATATTTTTACATAAAATGAATGAGAGAAATTAAAAATAATTATTTAGAAAATGTAAGCAGTTAAAATACATGTAAACACTCCTATCATGCTTTTTTTTCAGTAATTTTATAAATATTTGTGCTTGTTACACAAATATTTAACTATGCATTTTTTGTTAACACTTTGCCGATCGCTGTCATATACGCGTGACTTTTTTTTCCTTCAGCGTGAATCTCGCCGGTGTCAACAACACATTCAGCATTTCTATACTTACGAAAATGAAAAGAAAAATATAAAGCTAATTGTTTCGTTCTTATTTCGTAATAATTTACCTCAATATCATTTGGATCGAGTAGAAATACCATATAAATAAAGAAGCTCCATATTTTGTAAATTGGATAATACTTATTATTCAATTTACAGCCTGTCTCCATTAAATGATCTAAATCATTGAAAATTGATTAGTTTTTATTAAGAACTTTATTTATTACGAAAAATCATAGTTAATTGTATAATTACTAAAGAAAAATATTTTAATATTCCTTACCATTGTCAACTTGATAGTGATGCATATTTCCTATTATGGGATATTCCTTAGGTCCTGGAATAAGACTAATAAGTCTTCCCACTCTTCCATATCTTATAAAGCAGTGTAATAGAATTAGAAATAAAATAAAACTTAACAAGATAGCGAGCATCATTAAATCTGAAAAATATACAAAATTAGGAAAATGAACAATAAATGTAGCAAGAAAAATTTTATGTATTGGATATTGTTGTCAAGGATAACAACTTTTTTTAAATACTTCATCATGGATTAAATACATAAACTAGAGTCTATGAAATGTTTAAAAATACACGAATTATTTGTTTTATTAATGATTTCTTTTTTATTCATTGTAAACAGAGACGTACACATGAGCGATATATAACAATACAACAAAACTAAAATAATGTAACCTTACCCACATAACACGAAAGGTTTTGAAATATTTCAACGAAAGTTTTCGTTAAATATTTCCAAAAAATCTTTCAGAAACCTTGCAGGCATTTTTCTAAAATATTTTGAAAAAGATTCATTAAAGATTTTACAAAAATATTTGTAAAACATTTCTAAATTATTTTACTGATAGAGTAATTAAAATGTTTAAAAATATTTCTATGAAACCTTGCAGAAACCTTGCAAAAAGATTTTACAAAAATATTTCATAAAATGTTGCAGAAAGGTTTTCAACCGTTTTTAAAAATTATTTTTTCAAAGTGTGTTTTAAATCTTGTAGTAATCTTTTAAATAATATTTCTCAAAACATTTTTTCAAAACTTTCTTGAAATCTTTTGCGATATGTTCTGGAAACATTTCCGAAATATTTCAAAAGAAATATAATTTTTCGCAAAACCTTGATGAAAAAAAAAAATTACAATAAAACCTTGCAGAAACCTTTTGCAAAGATTTCACACAATATTTCAAAAAAGTTTGTCAAAATATTATGAAAAATATGTCAAAAACAATTCAAACATATTTATAGAAACCTTTAAGGCCGGCGATACATGTAAACGCCTAAATTTTGACCATTTTTCAGAGGCTTATTTAAAATGGAAGGAATAAATGAATCGTTTTGAAACTTAGCATGTTTAGTCATTACATATTAAAATATAAGAATCCGATTTTTTTTTAATTTTTTTTTTCAAAATGGCTGCTGTAATAACCAAACCCCTGAGGCCCTCGCGGCGAAACGCATCAATCATGGTAATTTTTAACTTTAGTTACAGCACTCTAAAATTAAAAAAAAAGGGTCGGAGGATGTTAATAAAACATGTATCTTCTAGTTGAACTAAGGAAAAACTAAAAAGTGAAAAAATCGTAAATTGACACGACTCAGATAAAAAGAGTCTGATTTTTGACCCTTTTTTTAACGATTTTATGGTCAAAAATGGCAATTTTTGAAAATTTTGGTGGCATTCTTAAAATTCAACTAGAAGCTAATACTATAAAGAAAATGTGTGCTAAAGTTCATAAGAATCGGTTGAGAACTTTTTGAGTTATCTTGCACGTTAATTTGAAACAAGTCGTTTTGAGAAAAACGCGTTCAAAGTTTAGCGTTCGCGTTGAGTTGAGGCAGAGTACTTAAATGAATTTTTAATCGATAAATAATGCGAATTTCATTCTAAAAATTTACAGGCATATTTTTTAGATGGTAAACTAACTATTTATAAAAAAAAAAAATTCGATTTTTATTTTTATTTTACTTGTATCGCCGGCCTTAACAAAACATGACGATAAGGTTTCGGAAAATCTTCCAAAAACCTTCTGTGGGACGAGCGCCTTCATGCCAAACTTATGAGACATTTGTAAAATGTACTTATCGGTAACCTTAAATAGCTCAATTGGTTAAAGAGCAATCGCACCCAGAAAGCGAAAAGGATCCGTGGTTCGAATCCCGTCGGTCCAGTCAGTCAGCTTTCCATTTTTTTTCACGGATCCCACGCTCAGCCGGAATGGAGAGTCTGTTTCGTAATATGCTCCACAGTCTTACAACGCAACGAAAAAAAAAAAAATTCGGTCATTCGTGAGAAGGAATCTGGTCGGTAAGCCCTGGGCTGAAGAAAAGCTCCCCTCAATTGCCTTTTTCGAAAAAATTTCAAAAATGTTTTCTAGAAACCTTTCGCAAAATATGGTGAAAAGATTTTTAAAAATCTTTCAAAAACCTTTTTAGAAATCTTTTGCAAGTTTTTGAAAGCGGACATTTTCACCTTGTAGAAATATTTTTTAGAAACCTTTTTGAAAGGCTTAAAGCTTTCCAAGAAATGTTTTGGAAAGATTTTAGATAGTTTTGATGTTATGTGGGTACTTGCAAGATTTGTATTACTTGCAGTTTATAAAAGATTTAATCTCTTGGGCACTTAGAAGAAACTCGTTTAATCGTTAAATTATAGGAGTAAGTTAAATCAGTAATTTCTGTTGAATTAATAATAATATAGGAAAATTCAGGATTTTATTATCATGTACGAATACGATACACTATACGAATACGATAATATTATTGCTGTTATATATATATATATATATTTGCCCAATGCATAATCGTTAAATGATGTCGCAAAAATTAGAACTCTTTTTAACCTATAATTTATCGTATAGATTATGAATACTTTTTACAAAATAGATATCATTAAAACAATTAACTTAGATCAGTAGATTATTTTATTTACTTATTTTATTTAATTTATTGAATATATATTTAATACATTTTGTAGTAAAAATTATTTCTTAGATAAATACAGTATAAAAAGGAATGATTATTTTTTAACTGGCGCTAGCTAGGAACTTAAAAGTTCAATGCCGCAGAAACGGCATATTGATATAATCAATCATCAATATTCATTTCCCTGAGCACGACCCCTCCATTCGCGGTCAACGAAACCATATTTTTTTAAGATCCTTCCTAATACTATCTTCTTATCTACGGTCTACCCAATGACCTTTTCCCGTTTAGTATACCGATTAATATTTCATGAGCTATTACATTTTTCTCCATGCGCGACACGTAGCTTGCCCATTTTAATCGACGTGATTTTAGGAAGTTAACACTTTCACAACCGCTGACACCAATGTGATGCCATAAGCAGGCCAGTCGTCGTACGCCGGTGACACTCATGTGGTGTTATTGGTAGACCAGTCGTCGTACGCCGGTGACACTCATGTGGTGTCATTGGTAGGCCAGTCGTTATTTGCCGGTACAAAATAATATATAAAAGTATATTAAAAAAAATATATATATTGCCGGCCATTGGCGACGTTTCACTGCGCAAACATGCGGTTGTGAAAGTGTTTATAATGTCCGGTTTGTTGTACAATCGATATACTTCTATGTTATAGAGTTTTCTCCATTCACCCGTTTCCTCATCGCGTTTAGCACCAAAGATTTTACGAAGAACTTTATTTTCAAATACCCTCAATTTCTTTTTGTCCCGTAACATAATTGACCGCGTTTCGCTACCATAAAGGATTACCTGTAAGATGATTGTCCCGTATATCCTGATTTTTAAGCTCCTAGAGACAACAACCGCCCGCGCGAACTGAATAATTTATTAACCGAATAAAATTATGCATTGCCTAAATTGATTCTTTTCTTAAGTTCTTTGTTCGTTCGTTCGTCTTTTTAATGATCGATCTTAAATACCTAAAGTCGTTGACCCTTTTTAAAATTTTATTCCGGATGACCAAAGCTCCAATATTGGGCAGATTCTGAAATCTATCGGTGATCATATGTTTAGTTCCATTATTTTCATAACCCAGTAAAATTTCCATGATAATTTACTATTCTTTATGATAATTTAATTTTTGGAAAATACGAACCTACCTGGTCCCAGCTAAACTCCGTGAAGGCAGTATGGCCCAAACATGATTATCCTTACTATTTGATAATATTTGTCGGTTAGGACTTAACAATATATTAAAAAATTATTAAATTGTATTTTATTTTAATATTAAAATGTATTAATCATTTATACAAAGTAAATTAAAAGTTCATTTTTTGTTGGAAAAACAAAAACAAGACCATTGGGAAGACCAACAAAATGGTGGCATGAAAACTGTATGTTGTCATTGCACAAACAAAAAACGCTCTGAGATGTATAAAGGTACGGTAATTGTAAATTCGAGTGGCTCCTTGCAAAAAGGGTCCGGTAAGTCTCATAAATAACAAAATTCACAACAGGATGAAGTCGTATCAAGAAGAAGAAGAAGAAGAAGAAGAAAAAGAAGAAGAAGAAATAAATAATGTGACTTTGCACTGCTATTTCCAACAATAAGGTTAATTCTGCAAGAAATTCAAACTGCTGATCTTCTAGCGGCCTTTTTTTATGGTGTTTTTCAAGCATCCATTAACTATTTTCTCTTTTCGTTTCGGTTCATCGTTGAATGTGATCTATAGTCAAACTATTGTTACATCCCATTCGATAAAACGATTAATTAATAAAATTATACTTACAAATTAGAAACGCAGTTAATCAAAGATTCGATGTGCGTGTAAACACAGAGAATAAAAAATTTCGAAAAAACGTTGTCAAAAAATTATAAAACTCACTGGCATTATATTAAAACGAAAGTAGAAATGAGAATTAAGACATGACTTAAATTGTAACTGAAATTGAAGGTTGAACACGTGAGGCCTTTATAAATGCTTCACGTAGATGGCTCTTACTATTGGGTTTTCCAGAAAATTCAGTGGTGGGGCGTAACCTGTTTTAAAGAAGTTTGCATGGTTTCAAAGTGGAGGTAAAAATAATAAACCTTTGCAGATTAAAATATAGTAAAAGTAAAACGTTCTAATGACCAATCATCAAAAGAATGTATCTTAAAATTTCTACTTAAAATCATTGAAATTTTATCGTAATCTTTTTTAAGAATCTTCAATACTTCTAGGGTGTACTTTATTTAAATTCTCCTGGATGAAATCAATAATTGTATTTATTGAGTGATTGGAAGAAAGGTAAATTGCACATATTTCCCCTGCTTTAGAAAGCTAAACAGACAATAATTCCAATTGGTTTGCATTTCTATCTATATATGTGGAGTAATAACACGGGCTAGGTATTTTTAATTATGATAGTTTGGATTTGGTATTTGCAGAAATGAACTTTCAAATTCCTAATGCCAATTAATAATAATAATAATAATGATAATAATAATAATAATAATAATAATAATAATAATAATAATAATAATAATAATAATAATAATGATAATAATAATAATAATAATAATAATAATAATAATAATAATAATAATTTTTCAATAAAATAGAAAGACTTTTAAACAGAAAAGATATGACATGTTTTGTACAAAAAAATACACCAGACTTGCTACTAAATTTCGAACAAAAATAATATAACAAACTATAGAAATAAAGAAAAACCAAGGTAATATAAAAAACTGTATACTATTTTCTAGCTCATTCTCTCGGCGGCTCAATATTATTGATGTATATATGTTTGTCTCTTTTTCTATTTTTAGAAACTTTGCCGTTCACTTTCATTTTCTTTCAATTTGTTTGTTTTGTTTATCGTTCTGGGTCATTCACTTTAAAAATACATCAAATTAAAAAGGGATTGCGATTTTATCGGAGCATAAAGAATGATATCACCATTTGAGGGGACATGTCACCTTGGAGTGTAAAAAAAAGCGGTTTCTTTTTTGTGAATTTTTTTTGCAGCCAGTTTTATTAATATCAATATAAATTTTTGGTATATGTAAGTTATATATGTGAACTATATTCACAATTTTTGTGTGTGTAAAAATATTGTAAATGGTATTGTCTGTGGCCACTTTTCTAATAGTCCAAAAAAAAAAGGTGATTTTCGGTGGCCCTCACTGGCAAAAATTGGTTCATCATAAACAAAAAAACTGAGTGTTATCCTTTAGTAGAGATGTTGGCGCAGGGAATGAACGAAAAGAAAATTTTGATTTTTTAACTTTTCTCAAAATAATCGACTTTTTGCGAAAAAATTGACATTTTTGCAGAAAAATCGCCGAGTTTGGAGAAAAAAAAAATAAATTGGCATTTTGTCGAAAAATCCTTTCGTTCATTCAAACATTATAATTAAAAAACATGTCTTCGGATATTTATAAGAAAAATATTCTACAATGTTGTTTAATTCTTTTTCTCTGATGTATCTGATAATCATTTGATTTTTTTGTAAAATATTGCAGACAATACAATTAATATATTCTATATATTTCGTAATTGTTAATTACAATATTTGCCAAATAAATAATTTAATATTAATTTTTTAATAAAATAGAAACATTTTTAAATAGAAAAGAAATACCACGTTTGGTAAAATAAAAACAGACCACGCACCTTCTTTATTTATTTCGACCGTCGATTGGTTTGGACCTTATACTTTTGTCGCATACCTACGTGCTTATCTCTGTTTATTCTTCTACCCTTCTATCGCTCCTACCTACAAACAGGTATAGTATCGAAATTATTGTATATGTGTCCACGCTTTGTAATATGCAGTCGCACACAAACGCACACRTATATAACCAGGAGCGATAACTATGAAGCATAGCATAAAGAGGAGACCGAGAATAGGAAAAACTGTATAGCTGTATTCCGTCTCATTCTCTCGCAGGCTAAATCCTATATGTTTGTCTCTTTTTCTCTCATTATTTAGTATAGCAGCCGTTTCATAGCTTCGTTACTTAGCTTCGTTACATAGCTCCGTTTCCGTTTATTTACTTTTTAGATCACTCCCATTCTAAAGAAGTTTTCACTTCAAAAACAAAGATAAGATAATCTGTTTACATAGATTATTTTTTTTAGTAATAACTATTTTGTCATGAGTAACATTACATAAGCAATTCAAATTAGCTATCTTTCTTCGTTGTACAAATGTTTGTTAAATCTTTAGATTTTATTGGACGTAACATTGTAGACAACTTAATGATAAAAAAAGTCATAGATTAAAAAAATTGAGATATTTATACATTAATGTGGTTTTTATTATGTATTTCTTATATTTGTATGCAACAGTATAAAATTAGAGATGTTGCAATATAATCATTTCTGCAACAGAAATTGTTCATTTAACGTTCCAACAATCTTACGATTAAACGAGTTTCTTCTTATTATAAATTACAACAAATATTAATTCTGTAAGAGTGAAGTGAAATTATTTTCTTTCTATTTTACTAGTATATGTCGCTTATGTATACGTGTATGTTTACAATTAATAAAAAAAAAAATATAAAAAAAAGACGAATAATGAAATAAAAAATTCGCGTGTTTTCAAGCATTTCATAAATTATAATTTATATATTAATCAATGATACAGTTTTTAAAGAAAGTTTTGTTCTTGACAACAATAAATAAGGAGAAGGCAACAGTGGTCGACAGTTTAAGAGAAATTGTTATCTTAAATATTCGTAACTTTGTGCATTTTTATTGAACAGTAGGTCTTCATGCGTGAAGACATTCTTTGAACTTCAGACGTCATATAGTAAAGGATATTTTTCGAAAAAAATTGTGTTACAAATTCAAATGAAAAGAAGTTAATATTTGAAAGTTGATGAAAAATAAAGTTAACAATAATTCCATATCGAATGTAATTCAGGTATTGAGTAAATATTTCGCGTTTTGCTCGTTTTGGTAGACTTATTAATATGAAAAAGTATATTTTCTTATTTGTAATCTAATACGTCAGGGTTGCGTCAGGTGTGTGTGTGTGTGTGTGTGTGTGTGTGTGTGTGTGTGTGTCAGAAGTAGCCGACACCTCATTACCATCTTTTTTAACGATAAGCCATTTATATTTCTCTTCTTCTCAATGTATTTTCTTATTTAGATTTTTCGTTATCTTCACTATCCACACAATCGGGTATGTTACATCTAATGTCTGAACTCTCAGATGAATACTGTAAAACTTTCTTCAATTTTTATTTATATATATATATATATATTAATCGTTCGTAGTTACGATAAATAATCGTATTCAAATAGCATCGCATCGGTAAATGAAGTAGCTCATCTACCGCCTTTGTTTTCCAAGATCAATACTTAATTAAAGCTTATTTTTCACGCTTTAATGACAAATAGTCAATTTCTGGCACATGGTCGACGACTGGTGTTTTCACCCTAGTCAGTAAAAATTTTCTTGCTACATTTATTGTTCATTTTCCTAATTTTGTATATTTTTCAGATTTAATGATGCTCTCTATCTTGTTAAGTTTTATTTTATTTCTAATTCTATTACACTGCTTTATAAGATATAGAAGAGTGGGAAGACTTATTAGTCTTCTTCCAGGACCTCAGGAATATCCGATAATTGGAAATTTGCATCATGTACACACTGATAATGGTAAGAAATGTTAAAATATTTCAATTGAAGAATTAAATTGTTAAGTGTGATTTTCCTCAATTGATAAAGTTTTCATTTAATATTAACTTATTACCAATAATATAGAACATTTACTTCAGCAAATATGGAAATTAAGTAAAGAGAATTATCCAATTTTTAAAATATGGACCTTATTTTTTTCTGCAGTAATTTTACTCGATCCAGATGATATTCAGGTAAATTATTATTAAAAAAAAAAAAAAAAATAGAAATTTTTTATAATCTTATTTTAACTTATTGATGTACAGAAAAGCTGAATATGAATATGTACAATTGCATTCATTACAAAAAATGCATAGTTGAATATATTTTAAACCATCATTAAATGTAAAATTGCTTTAGACAAATTCTTGAAGGATTATTTATTAATCTTTTCCGAGCATCATTTGAGAAAGACTATTTTTAATTTTTACCAATTCATTTAACCCCTTAACACGCAATTTTTTGAAAAAAAAACCTGCTAAGCAAATTCAATTTTTTTTTTTATGTAACAAAGCACAATTTAGAACATTGTCTTAGCAAAAAATTAAAAAAATACAAAATTAATCAGAATTTTTATAGCAGCATAGAATACAAAGTGTACGTGCAACTTAAGGGGTTATTGTAATACAAAATCAAAAGTTAAACATTAATCAAAAAATCAATTTTTATGCTTTAACAAAGATGAATTTTACATTGTAGGAGTTACTAAAGAGCAATGAATATTTGGAAAAAGGAGATATGTATAAATCTCTTATGCCCTGGCTTTCTTCTGGATTATTAATTAGCGGCGGTAAGCAATTAAAATTACTAACAAAAATTTATTAACAATATATCTAAAATAAAAGGTTCTAAATGAAAACTAATAAAAAACGCCTTTATTCGTTCGAGCCTTACAAAGAGACTAATATTTTTATCTTCATTTTTTCACATTCCTATCTGTTTTTCATACAATTAGGGTTCTGGATTTTCATAATTGTAACACTCATTCCAAAAAAATTCTATCCGTACCTTAAGGTGCGATTTCATGCTGAAGCTTGACGCTAGCTTTGAGCGTCCAATTTGACCACATTATATAATTTCGATCAAAGGGCCATCTATATAAGAAGCAGCGTCAAATCTGAGAGTCAAACTGTAGCGTCAAGCGACATTGACGAGTTAAAATAGCGTTTTACAAGTAACAAAAGTCGAAATTTGACTTATCAATTTATGTTAGTCTCTAACCTATTTCGTTTATTTTCTAATAGTTAGAGTCAAATGTCATAAAAATGAGTAACATTGATACATTTTTTAAAGATTTAATCGGTAATAAAAAAGCACAAATAAAAACCATGGGCGCATATTATTCTATTGATCAGTGGCGGACTTATGACCCATGGGTCAGATGATGACCCACGCACATCTTCGAACTGACCCATATATCGATTTTTATTAGATATAAAAACTATAAATATTATTGTATATGAAATGTATGAGAATTTTTACTAAATAATTTTAAGTCAATGAAAAATCTTGCTTTTTGAAGTGAGAACTTCTTTAGAATGGGAGTGATCTGAAAAGTAAATAAACGGAAACGGAGCTATGTAACGGCTGCTATACTAAATAATGAGAGAAAAAGAGACAAACATATAGGATTTAGCCTGCGAGAGAATGAGACGGAATATAGCTATACGGTTTTTCCTATTCTCGGTCTCCTCTTTATGCTATGCTTCATAGTTATCGCTCCTGGTTATATATGTGTGCGTTTGTGTGCGACTGCATATTACAAAGCGTGGACACATATACAATAATTTCGATACTATACCTGTTTGTAGGTAGGAGCGATAGAAGGGTAGAAGAATAAACAGAGATAAGCACGTAGGTATGCGACAAAAGTATAAGGTCCAAACCAACCGACGGTCGAAATAAAGAAAGAAGGTGCGTGGTCTGTTTTTATTTTACCAAACGTGGTATTTCTTTTCTATTTAAAAATGTTCCATTTTATTAAAAAATTAATATTAAATTATTTATTTTGCAAATATTGTAATTAACAATTACGAAATATATAGAATATATTAATTGTATTGTCTGCAATATTTTACAAAAAAATCAAATGATTATCAGATACATCAGAGAAAAAAAATTAAACAACATTGTGGAATATTTTTCTTATAAATATCCAAAGACATGTTTTTTAATTATAATGTTTGCGTATTTAGGAAACTTATAGTAATTTTTCAATAAAATAAAAACATTTTTAAGATGTTAAACGCCCAGCGTGAATCGGAGGAGCTTACCACGGAGCTGAAATCTGAGACTCGTAGTGTACACAGTTCGATAAGCTGAGAGAGCGATACGATTCAATGCATTTTTTAGATTTTTCGTTGTTCAGATCTTTATTTAGACGAAAGTATTTAGAAAGATAAGTTTGTGGTCCAAAGAATAAAGACGAAATATGTTATAAATAATAAGGGTCTCGAAGTGTGGTAGGCTACAGAGTTGAAAAAACATTTCTAGAGAATATCTTTATTAGATCTTTCAGTGCATTTTACCAGAACCTTCGTTCAGTCCAGCAGTATTCTCCATATGTTTTTCGTAACGTCTTTATTTCATCTATCTTAAAATGTTTGTTATATAGCGCAAAAATGTAGATAAAAACGGGAAATAGAAAACCAAACTAACAAAAAAAATTTTATACCTAAGTTTCAAAAAAAGGATTATTTATTTTTACTTAATTTCTGACGAATTATATTTCCTTTGATAAACATCCTACCATTTTGGTGATTATTTATAACTATCGCATTCCGCATTCCGTTTTTATTGCTTGAATTGTGAAAAGTGCACTTTTTATCAGCTATTTCACCCAGAGACACCATACCGGTGACATTTATTATTTATAGTAATAATATTATAATAAATAAATCGTACAATTATCTTACTCTTAAAACTTTATGATAAAAAGAAAGTAAAACGCAATTGCTATTGAAGCCTTATAATATATTTATTAATATTTGAAATATAAACTTATTTGACAGGAGAAAAATGGCACTTACGACGAAAGATGTTAACTCCTGCATTTCACTTCAATATTCTTAAACATTCCTTTACTAATTTAATTAAAGAATCACAAAATCTTGTCGAATCTCTTCAAAAAGAGGGAGATGGAAATCCTATTATCAAAGATCTACGAACATTTATTAGCAAGTACACTCTAAACGCAATATGTCGTAAGTGAAAAAAACAATTTTCTTTGTATATAATTAATAGTATTACGAATTAATTTTATTTACGAGTCTCTTCTTTGTAGAAATAGCTTTAGGTACCCATTTGACAGAAAAAAATGAGCTGGAATCTGAATATCGTAATGCTGTTCATGTTTATGGCAGAATTGCTACATATAGGTAATTCATTAATTTTGTTTAGAAAAACAAAGTTATTTAAATAAAAAATATTATTTATTGTTTATTAGAATGATAAGACCTTGGTACTACTTCGATACTATATTTGCATTTTCTCCACTTGGTAGAGTACAAAAAAAAATATTGAAAACGTTGCACAGTTTTTCGAGAAATGTACGTCTTTTGCATAGTATTTATTTAAAAATTTACATTCTCAACAAATATTTTCCTTTAAATAAATGTTATTTTTTTCTTCCAGATAATTGCAGAAAGAAAACGTTTTCATAAACAAACTAATGGGAAATATTTGCAAGTAAATGAGAATATTGAAGAAGATGACGTTTCTAATAAAAATTCGGAGAAGGACAATGACTGTATTTGAATTCTTTTTAAATATGAATAGAATTAAATTTAAGAAACAAGGTTAATAGAATTTTTATATTATTACAGATTTTCAGTCCAAGAAAAGGCTTTCTATGTTAGATTTGCTTATAGCCGCATCTTGGAATGATAATCAAATAGATGAGGAAGGAATTTGTGAAGAAGTTGATACCTTCATCTTTGAAGTAGGTTCTTCTAAATGTTCTTTCTTAGAAGAATACATTTTAAAAATATTCTGCAAAATATAATTTTTCAGGGTCACGATACTACCGCAAGTGCATTGACCTCTACTTTGAGTCTTATTGCTAAGCACAAAGATGTCCAGGTGAAGTAATCAGAAAAGATTATTAGTTGAAATGATAAGCAAAATAAACAATCTTTCACTTTTTATTCATTTAAAATTATTTAAGTAATTAAATCGTTTCACTAATTTTTTGTAACTTGTCTGTAGTAATAATTAATTATGATATTTACTCCTAACAAATAATATCACTTTTGTTGTAGTTCGAACGAAAATTATCTAAACTTAAGGGGGTATTCTGATCTAGAGGCATGAATTTTAGGTACTTTTTCAAGTGCAATGACTAAAAGACGCATAATTTTTTCACTATCTATAATGTTATAAGATATTTATTAATATTTCAAGAATACATGAAAAAAAAAATAATGGAAAAATTCAAAATTGAAAAAGATATAGGCTGATGAAGTGGAGGGTCCCAAAAAAATGGTGCGCGACGGTTGTCACAATTGCAGCTCTTCTAGTAATCTAAAATAAAAAAATTAAAAAAGATTATTGATTTATAATAATGCTGCTATCGTTTGAACTAAAAGAATTGAAAAAAGTTTTTTTTTCGCTAAATTACCGCTGTCTGAAAAAAAGATACATTATTTTTACCCCTTTTTTTTTCTTTTTCGAATTTTTTAAAAATAGTAGAAAATTAAAATTGTGCTAAGAGTCTAATTAGTACGATAGAAAAATGAATAGAAAAGAATCTCACCAAATTTCAAGCAAATCGGATTAGTAGAACTTGAGATATCATGACAATCGTGAAAAAAAAAGCAATTTCGAAAAAAACGCGTTCAAAGTTTCGCGTAATAAGGGTAAAATATAAGATGCCGCGTCTAAAACTAAAACAGCTATATCTCCGAAAATAAATTGAATTTTGAAAAATCCTCTTAAGGACATATTCTTAAAAGGTTAAGCTTTGAAAATATGAAAAAAAAAGGAATCGATGTTTTCCTCCAATTTCTAGACCAGAATATCTACTTAATAAGTTTTCTTTAGCAATGCTCATAGCCTACGAACAGAATAATCAATGACGTATTTATTGTTAGGAAAATATAAGAGACGAGGTTCGATTGATTATGCAAGAAGATAATAATGTAACGATATCGTCACTTTCAAAACTTCCGTATTTGGAAAGATGTTTAAAAGAATCGCTTCGTTTGTATCCAAGCGTTCATTCAATTTTTCGGCAAATTCCTCACGATATGCAGCTAAGTATGTAATATATATATATATATATTCAAATATACGTATACACTTAAATATCATATTTCTAGTATTGATCCTTTGGCTTATTAACTACTTATCTTTTTAATTTTGCAGAACATTATTTAATTCCATCTGGTACGATCATTGAAGTGAATATTTACTCCTTGCACAGAAATCCGGATTATTGGCCAAATCCAGATGTTTTCGATCCAGATAGATTTTTACCGGAAAATGTTAAAGGGCGACATCCCTACTCCTACATACCATTTAGTGCGGGGCCGAGAAACTGCATTGGTAAGCGACTCATATAATAAAATCAATTTTTTATTTTTAATAATAGAAAGAAATACAATGAAATCTTAAAAAAAAAAAAATTATAAGTAATTGATGTTGACGTAATACTTTAAGGCACTTATGGTGATTGATTATTTTTTAGTGTATCTACCAACACCGTACATAAACATAAGATTTGTTCGCATTTTGGAAAACTCCTTCTGACGTTATTTAATTTTATTTTTTATTATATTGTTTTTTCATATTCTCTTATTTTTCATTCCACAGGTCAAAAATTGGCAATGTACGAGCTAAAACTCATGGTTGCTTTTATATTGTACAATTTTAAATTGGAACCGGTAGATGAACTAGATGACGTTACGTTTTTGGCAGATCTCACTCTGACCTCGTCTAAACCACTTCGAATCAAATTTATACCAATTACATAGGTTTTTTTATGCATAGTATATTTTATAAAATATGATAAATTCAAATAAAGCTGTATTGAATCTATTTTTATAATTGTTGAACATTGTTAAAACCTAATGTTTTTGAAGTAAAAACTGCTTTAGAATAGGGGCGATTTGAAAAATTGCAACGAGGTGCGGCGTAACACAGCGATACACACTTATGTGTACCCTTTGAAGAATTTCAGATACCTGTGTAAACATATGCGATACCATAAAAAAGGATACAGTTTTATTAATAAAGTTTTCTATATACGTTAACCATTTTGTATATCTTTTATCTCGTGGTATTAGTAAGCAGTGATACCACATTAAATAAATATGAGGCTCTATCTGTGGTTCAAAAATTGTACTATTTTATATGTCGATAAAAAAGAAAACTTTGATATCTATGTTAACTAAAATACGTGCATTTATGAGTTAACCTAACTTCTTGAAGAAAAATATTGAAATCTTATTTAAAAAATGGATATATTTGTATTGATGCTTTGTGTAATTGTTATCATAACATTAATAATTGCATTAACTATATTTCTTCGTCGAAATCAAGGTAAGATTTGATTCAACTATGTGTATTTTAATTTAATACACAACTTATGGTACTTTTACAATGTCCATATTGTCATCAATCATGAAAATAACAATTGAGACAGATTGAGAAAATAAATGTCTTTTTACAGGAGTAAATAAAGAAAGACCTAATAATGTTCAGGATCAAGTTGGAGAACGTCGTCAAGTGAGACGAGTAGTTGGTAACAGAAATGTACGTCATCGTGTACATGCTGTAGTAAATAATCAAATAAATGCAAATGAGAATAGACAAATGGAAAATAATGAAGTAGAAGTAGATACACCAGCGGCAGATGTATCCGATGGTAAATTTGGTGCTAAGAAACGTGCCAAGTTAGCAGCCAAAGCTGAAAAGAAAGCTCAAAGGGAGATAATTAAACACGAACAAGAAAAACGTAAGGAAGAGGAAGAGAAACGACAAAAGGAAAGAGATAAGCAACGTGAAGAAGAACAAAATGAGGAAAAACGTCAAGAGGAAGAAGCTAGGAAACTTAGAGAATTAAAGGAAAAACAGGAACAAGAAGAATATTTAAAAATGAAAGAAATGTTTAGCGTTGAGGAGGAAGGTTTTCAAGAGGATCAGAATATTTTGTTGGACGATGTCATGGAATATGTTAAATTAAAAAAAGTAGTTTATCTGGATGACGTAGCTGCTCATTTTTCTTTAAAAACAGCATTCGTAGTAGATAAGATCTTAGAATGGCAAAAATCAGGTGAATTAACTGGAGTTATAGACGATCAAGGAAAATTCATTTACATTACGGAGAGCGAACTTGATGCTGTTGTTAAATTTATTAAACAACGTGGTAGAGTTAGTATTTCAGAACTTTCTGAACGTTCGAATACGTTAATTAATATAGGTTCGAGTTAAACTATATATGTATGTAATAACTTTTCTAGAGATTTTTCTAATTAATTAAATGATCACAAATATTACAAAGATAAGGTTAAGGAGACACGTCACCTTCGAGTGTAAAAAAAAGCGGTTTTTTTGTGAATTTTTTTTGCAGCCAATTTTATTAATATCAATACAAATTTTTGTTATATGTAAGTTATATATCTGAACTATATACACAATTTTTTTTGTGTAAAAATATTGTAAATTGTGTTGTCTGTGGCCACTTTTCTAATAGTCCAAATAAAAAAAGGTGATTTTCGGTGGCCCTCACTGGCAAAAATTGGTTCATCATAAACAAAAAAACTGAGTGTTATCCTTTAGTAGAGATGTTGGCGCAGGGAATGAACGAAAGAAAATTTTGATTTTTTAATTTTTCTCAAAATAGTCGACTTTTTGCGAAAAAAAATTGACATTTTTGCAGAAATATCGACGAGTTTTTGAAGAAAAAAAAAAATAAATTGGCATTTTGTCGAAAAATCCTTTCGTTCATTCTCTAGATACGTGTATCTAGTATTACTGTACAACATTTGGTAAGGATCGGATAAATGGTCTGGACGCAGCGAGGGCCACCGTTTTAAAAACGCGAATAGGAGAAATTAACGTTTAAACTACTACAGTTTCGTAAATAATGCGCGGATCTTTACCAAAATTTGAAGAAATATTTTTGAAATAATATTCTTTCAGAAAATCGAAAAAAAAATCGATTTTTGTGTTGACGTGTCCCCTTAATGGAGGAATGTAAATTACATGATGCAATTTTTGTTATAAACAATTATTTTTAGTATTTATAATAACCTATTCAAATATATACATATATGTGTTTATAAATTTATCTATTTTAAATAATTTATGAAATGATGTATATAATAAAAAAAAATGTATTTTTTTTTTCTACGTTAAATATATATTTTAAATATAACGTTCAATATCTGACTTGATTATTTCGAATAATTTCTATATAAATTTTATGTTAAATAACAAATTATTTCTGCAGTTAAAAATTGAGTTTAGAAGGTGATTACAAAATTTAACCAACATTTTATAAATAAAAAATAAAAATAAAAATGTTGTATATACAATGTTATATTAAAAAATTATAATCAAAATATTATTTGAAATGAAAATTCTTGTCTTTATGCATTAACATACGTGATATTGCATAGAAACAAGAAGAATTCCGCAACATGACAACATTTTGAACGAATATTGCATCAGATTCTAGTTTTTCTCTTGAATGTATAATTTATATAGTTGGGCACGGCTATCGTGATTCTACAATAGATTTACCAATTAATCTTTTTCTTTTTTTCTTTTTTAGAAGGTCAATAAAATATTGAATTCCTATTTTTGGGTTAAACATACAATATTATTTGTTCTATTTTTAAAACAATAAACGTTTGTATAATCTAATAACTAAAATTGTACTGTTGAATAATTGAAAAACAAAACTTCGTGATTTATACACAAAGAAAAGAAAATATTGTAATGTTCGATTTGTTTTCTTGAAATACGATCGTCTCGTGCTGATTTACCTTACGACAGTTTGCGGCCCTTTAGTACCATTATGCGTCACATTTTTCACTCTAAAGTTAGTTCAGTAGTTAGAAACGATCATCCATGATTTATCTTTGTCGTTTTTGATAATCTTCATTGAAATCAATCTACTCAAAGTTTTTATTTCAATATTCCAAAAAAAAAAAAAAAATAAAAATAGAAATTAATTTTTAAACTAATCTAATATAATTCTGTAGTATAATCTCTTTTGATTCATCCTGTATTAAAAATTAAAACTTAATGATCAGCCATTAAGTGCTGGCCGCTCTCAAAATGGCCGACCGTCATAATGGCCGATAGAATAAAAATTAAAGCTATGAGTACAATTAATTTAAGATTAAATAAATGAATTTCTTGAAACAATATAAGAAATATAAGAATAAACTTTTGTTATAATTGAAATTATCATTTTTACACGAAACATTTCAATTCAATTCAATTCAAATTTGCTAATAATTTGATTAGTATTGAATATTAATTCCTAATTTATTTTCTTCATATTCTAATTACGAATAAGGAAATTCTAGAATCATAGAATAGGCAGTAATTATACACATCTATTAATAATATCAAATTATACAGAGTATAATTTATTTGCATTAAAAATTTGATAAACATCGGAGCAGAAAGATAACACGTCATTAATCGTAGAAAAACATAGAGTGACGAATACATTAATGTGCATCGCTGTAAACAAGACGACATTTTACTACCAAATTGAAATAAAAATTCCTCTTTGAAAATATTTCATTGAAAATATCATTATAATAATGCATTATTTGTTATAAATCTTTTATAATAGATTATGAAAGAGAACATAATTGTTCTTCTACACTGTTTATAAAACCGAAATTACAATTTGTATTATACTTAAAGTTAGATATAAAATAATCGATTGAACTTGAAAAAGATTGGATGAAATCAAGTTGGAGAATTAATGAAACCAATGCTGTGTAGAATCACGATATCCCCACCATAACTAAAAAACTTTTACTTGAGCAGAAAGTTGAGGAAGGGGTGTGGTCAGAGACTATGTAAGGCAGGTAGAATGAAGCAGCAGAACGGCAGTTCATTCTGACGACTTACAATCACTTTCTGGAATATCCGTGATAAATCATCAAATTATTTAACTAATTCTTAATTTCAACATTTATTTCTATAAGTGCGGAAAAATTATCTTCGCTAAAATTAATCAAGAAGAACTCACAAATCTTCACGGATTTTTAAATTTAATCAATCTTCGAATTATTTTTTTCTTATCTAGATCATAAAGATCTTATGTGTCGATGAGGTGCAAGGTTCTAGATTGCCAAGGCAACTCTCCGACATTTTTACCAAGTGTCAGGTAAATATTGAAGAAGAAACAAACAAGAAACAAATGTTACAAATTGTTTTACACCATATATTATTATCTTTTTTAATGTAATCTTTGTGTGATGATATTATTATGTTTTATTTAAAAACAGATTAGCTAAAAATCTTCGGACTCGTAAAGGAAGTCGTCGTGGTAATGCTGGAAACCGATTAGAATTATTGGTACTTGTTCATTTACACCACGTGCCGTAGAGTAAGTATATACATTTTAAATTAAAATTGAACAAAATATTCAGAATGATTTATGAATATACTTTCACTATTTAATAATTTTTTTTTCAATGTGTTTTAGCAACTAAAAAGACAAGAATAATTACACTCTGGTAATCAAAGTACAAATTTAAAAACATCAAATTTCGAATTTGAATTAATTTTGTTCATTAGAAGAGAATTTGAAACGATACAATTATGGTGTTTTCTAATTTGGATGAGTCAGAAATCACTGGCCCCTACCAACAAATCAAGTTAGTATAATTTATATTAATTTTAAATAATAATTTATTAAATACACACACACATTACTTTTTTTTTATATTAGACAGAATAATATTTGAATACAACAAATGATAGAACACTTTTTTTAACGAAGACTTTTATTTCCTCTGTTATTTAGGAAAGATAAGATGAATCCAACGTCAAAGGATTGTCAGAAACAAACTCAGCATCAGGAAAGTAACAAGAGTGATCAAAAGTATGGCGTTTGGGGACCAGTTTACAAAAATAAGCAAGATTTCGTAAACATGCACATTTGTTAATTTTTTCTAACACCATGTAACATTTATTATATATAACCAATCTTTTTTTTTTTTTTCAAAATGCTTTCTTTTTGGCACAAAATGAATGAACAATTAATTCAAATTCGAAATTTTCATAAATCATACTTATGGCTAGGATAACATAATGGTATTACTCTTCATAGAAAAAAAAAATAGAAAACTTTTGCGCGTAATATATTTTTCTTTCTAAACACAAAATCAAAATTAATAAGGAAATAGATTAACTTTTGAAATGCATTGAATCAGCATTCTATGCATTCCCTTCATGTGATATTCAAATATACTATATTATACTTAGATTATTGTATTTAGATTAACACTTTAATGGCCGTACGTGTACTCAGTCAAACATTGTCAGGGACCCGGTAGATAATATTTTTCAAGAATTAATTTAAAAAAAAACTTTATTGTTATTCACGAAAAAATTAACATAAAACAAAAAACAACACACGTATTGTGTGAGCGGCCACATTAAAGTGTTAATATTTTAACGGGGATAATTGTTACCTATATTTGGGAAATATACAAAACATATATTGCATTATGGGTATTTTTATTTATTGTATATTCTTTAAAATACTATTTATCTATTTAAAGTACTGCACTATTTTATATAATACTAACCACTAATATTTAGCTATTAATTTAGATTGAAATGTGTTAAAACATTGATCCAATAAACAGCAAGGCGTTAACACTTTAAAGCAAAACAATTTACCACGATAATATTGATCGAACAAGGAAGAAGTATGTAGAAAGAGGAAGAAAATAAGAATCCAAATATAAATTTCAGTGGTATGAGGTGAAAGAGGAGTAGACAAGATCAGTATCGAAAGTGATGGCATCCGGCTAACAGTGAAGAAGAAAATCCTTAATGCTTTGGTTAGAGACGGGAAGTAAAAGTAGTTGTAGAAGGGGAAAGGTATGGAGAAGGTATGGAAGCAAGCATGAGCTTTACGGAGGGGTAAAAAGCTCGTGGAAGAGGAAAAAGCTATGAGTCTCCCGACAATCGTGGATGCATCCTTGTTGCAGTCGGTTCTTGCACGCTAACTCGTTCGTTTCTAAAGTTTGTGCGGAGCAAGCTCGATTTAGCATAATTCTCATTTTTATTTTAGTATTTTATTTTTCATATGACCATATACATATATATATATATATATACATATAAATATATTTATTTATTTAATTAATTTATTTATTTATTCATAAACATCCATTCCTTGGCTATCAAAGTCAACTGAATTTTGTATTTAGTTATCATCAATTGATCGAATTTCTAAATCGATTTTTGTATGAAAAAAAAGAATGAAAATATAAAAGAAAGTGTGTCTTCGTTAGTAAGTAGTGAAGTAGTTCGTTCCAGACGAAATTACAACGAAGAGATACGAGACGAGACGAAAAGAAACGAAACGAAACGAGACTGACGCTATTTTCGTAGCACCCTGAACATACACCTTGGTAAGAAAGCTTTTGTACGATTATATTTATTCGTATGTCGGTGTTAACATTTTCTAATAGTATTTTACGCTCACACACATATCTTTAACTATTTAATCCTCAACCTTAACCTCTTCAAGAGAGAAAGAGAAAGAGAGAGAAAAAGAAAATATCTCTTGGTGCATACCCAAGTACGAGTTTAGAATTGTTCGATCTAATTCGTCCAAAGCATGATCGGGATTCGTTTAAAAGGATTCTAAAAAATACAAGAATTAAAAACAAAGGTTTTATGTGGTATGTACACGTTCAATTGATCACATTCTTCAAGTGTTTTAAACACCATGAATTAAAAGTCTAATTGTGTTCTTTCCTTTCGATCTTCCGAATTCTTAGAAAGGTCGTTGCAGAAACCCAAAAGATCAAAGACAATATCATTTCTTCTTTCTTTTCTTTTCTTCTTCTTTATAAATAAATATTATTATTATTATTATTATATAAAATGATTGAGTTGACAAGAAAGTAATTTCAGCTTGCATGCACCAATAAATAGCATTATGTTTATTTAATTATTCATATTTTGTTAATGTTAGAATTTGTTTCTTTTAAGGTTTGGTAATTGACACTTTTAGATTGCTATAGAATCAAATTCCGTGTTAATTTTCTTTACAACTGTTAATTTAGAAACAATTGAGTTTTATTTCACACTAGAAAACCTAAGTTATTTTCTTGCCAATCCAATATATATATATATATAAATTGGTACTTTGCAAGCGTCAACTAATGTCATGAACGGTCGAGACAAAAATATTAATGAAAACTTTAATGAATTCGCAGAAAAGGATAAGAAGTTTCATTTTGAAATATTCATCCTGAACAAATATCGTCTCGCTATGACGAGAAAGATAAAAGAAATACGTAGAAACAATTCCGAGCGGAAATAGAACTTCCTCCTTCGCGTACCAAGACGCTGACTCTTCTCTCTCTCTCTTTCTTTCTTTCTTTCTTTCTTTCTTTCTTTCTTTCTTTAGGATAGGATCTTACATCTAAATTTTTAAGTAAGAACTAATCTTTTTTTATATTTATTAAAATAAAAGTTCAATAAACTATCCCTAGTCGACACAAAATATTGACAAATATTCAATACATGTGTATTTAATATTAAAAAGACACATTAAATCTCTTTTTTAATATTAAATACACATATATTCAATATAATTCAATATTTTGTGCTACTAGGGTATTTAAAATCGATTAAGGAACAGGATATTATTGTTTAAAGTATTTTTTGTTTTTTTTTTTCAAGAATTTTTAACAGTATGAACGGCTTCTACTACTTCTTCTTCAATTTCTTGTACATTTTGTTTTGTAGGGTGCTATTTTTATCGGCACCCAATAGTCACTCGTCAAGTCACCGTATAAGAAGACAACCCCTCGCGAACAGCCGGAGGTGTACTATCAACTAACGTCCCCCTAAGTCATTTCTAACGTGATTCTATCGTGAAAAACGCGAGGTATAGTTGTTCATCGTAACAACCATGCACGTATGCTACTTTTTCCTGTATCACCATTAACACGAGGACAACTTTACGAGGGGATATAGAACACGTGCTATTTTTTCTAACAGAAATCAGTACAGTTAAATGTGATGAGTAACTTTTTAAATTTGTCAATATATATATTAATGAAATAAAAATTTATAGAAAAAAAAAACAAAAATAGTTTGTTAACTAAAACAAAAATAAAATAAAATTGAACACACATATATAATATTATAATTATAAATATTATATTTCGCCTGCCGAAACCCGGAATTGAACCAGGGACATTTAGATCTTCAGTCTAACGCTCTCCCAACTGAGCTATTTCGGCACATATTAGGAACCATCGATATAGTATTATATAAATCATTTATAATATCTAGAAAGACAAATGATAAAACTACTCCTACTGTAATTAATTATATTATAAAAATGATTATAATTATAGAATAGGGTCTTGAACTAAGTCGAAAATTGACGAATGATTTTTCTTTTCGTCTAATTTCTTCGTGCTTCATTGGAATGTCGTTTACTATGCTCTCATTTCCTCCCTCTTTCTTGTTTCTTTTTTTTTTTTTCTACGTGCCGCACGTGCTCACATCCTTTGGCACGCGCGTGCGAGCTATGTATGTTCTCCTTCCATTAGTACCTCATCCTTAGGGAGTTCTTCAAAAGGGGGACAAGGATGATTGAATTTACTCGCTAAATAAAAACTTAAGGGAAATCATAAAAATATCTAAATGTTCCTACCATTAACAACCCTTCGTATCACTACTACTATTACTTATGTCCAGTCATAATCAAAAATATATAATAAAAATGTCTGACTTTGATTTTTCATTTGTGATACGATTCAACAACAACAACAACAAATTGCTTGATCATCGGAATGAATAAAAAAGAAAGAAACGTTGAAAGAAAAGCATCGAAGGCGTCTGCTTCAAACGATGGAAGCCCCCAAGTTCGTTCAACTTAAAACCACGAGAAAAAAACAAGCCATATATATATATATATATATATATATATATATATGTGCGTGTGTGTGTATAGTACATCATTTACTATACTGTTTTAAATGAATAAATACATTGTTCGATTATTGTACGTTTTCAAATAATTATTAAGTTATATAAAAAAATACGAAATTTTATCAAATTTTCAAAGTTCAAATCTTAAAACAGCTGACCATGGCAAATTTTTATAAATAGATGTATAAATTTGCGAATGATTCTTGACGTCAAATATGTTTCTATATGCATACACACATACACAACACACAGCTTGTTGGTACAAATGATACGTGAGAATTCATTGACAGAATCCAGAGAATGAAACGGATGCCAACATATTTTGTTGTTCCTGTCCCACGTTACTTTTCAACATTCGACGATACTGAACGATCGTGCGAAGCTTTTACATTTATTCGTTTCATTTTGTTTCCATAGAAAAAGAAACGCACATGCATATTTTGTATATACTGGGTGTATCATTTCATTCGATTAGAGAATTGAATTGATTAATAATTTACAAGTTTTATTAAAAGAAATTTAAAGTCTTTCGTTTCCACCGTGAAAGAGAAAAAGAAATTGAAGATCCGTTTGAGAAACGGATGTGTGGATCTAAGAATAGGAAAATTCCTTTTTCCTTTCTGTTCTTACGTTGAAAGCAATTAAACGAGATTCGACAAGTTCGTATGCCTCTTCTCACGTCCAAATCTTAAATAATATTTGCATCGGGTTAATTGATGTTTTAACAATACTTAAAAATAGGAATAAATCAACTTTTCAAGTTAAAACCTGAAGGAGTTTCCTGTATTCCCGATATTTGAGATATTCGATTACAGGGTAAAATCAAAGAGTTTAAAAATAAAATGAGGGGTCTTGAAAATCGTGGAAAATAGGACAAAGAAAGTTAGCACCCTTTGGTTCCTTTTTGTTCCAAGTATAAAGTCTTGGGTGCAGACCCCCTGCGAACCGAACCAAAGCTTTCCTGACTAACACGTGTAACTAAGTATAGCCAGACGATCCCTAAATTCTAATGAACCCCAGTTTCCGACTAAAATCAATTTTTACATTCCTTCCTCCTTTATTTTATACAGCTATTACACGTTAATATAATTTGCACGTTTAAATTAAATGTTTAATTGGTCAATAAGGAATATCAAAATTGTATGGAAAAATGTTGAAAATAATATTAAGATTTATTAATAAAAATTGCCACGATCAAAACTTGTGATAATTTTTGTAAGTAATTTAATTAATTAATTGAATCGTTCATCGTCGAAGACAATGAATGTTGTTTTATATTTTATTTGCTTTTGCAAATGTTCGACGAACGACGACATCTATCTGTACGTCGAGACGACGGCACTCGTGTTGCCACTACACTAAAATAGATTTGGTATCCCGAAGCTGAAGGAAATCTGTAAACGTGCTCAGGAGAAAACAACTACGGTCTTGAAACTCGTTAAAAAAATAAATAGATTTTTTTCGATAGGTCGATTAAAACATAAAATTACAACAAAATTAAACGAAATGTCGATCAGAATGATGATCATTTTTTCATTCGTTCATTTATTTATTACCTATCCTTACGAAACTGTTAGTACCAAGAACTTTACGTTTTTCGATAAAGATTTTAATTAAACGAATTCAAAATGAATTTAAGTGAAATTAGAAATAATAGTCTCTGTAAATGAATGTGAAATCTTGTGTCACTGTACACACGTGTCTACCGTACGAGTTACTATCGAAATAAGCTTACGACTAAGATCATCGTCTGATTATTTAAAAGGGTGAAATGGATAAATAAACCATGTCGAATCCTAGACCAGTAATGTTGAACTCATGACCTGCGAAGGAAGTTTAAATGACCCCCATGAACTTTCAACGGGTTTAATTAAATTTTGTTTGATTAAATAAATAAAAAGTTACAAATGATATTTAGAAATTTCAATGAAAATTTCAAGTTTTAAACGAAGAAAAATTCTGAAGAAGAGAATTCGTACTTCGATGCTAGACTATAGAATCAATTGAATATGTAAAAAGTAGAAAAAAGGCTTTACATTTTCCTTAGCTTTGATCCTAAATTAGAATAGACAACGAGGTATTTAAATACCGGGTGGATTCTTACAAAAATTCGTTGAAATCCTTACAATTCTATGTTTGGCGGGCTGATTCATTCGAAAGGTGCGCAGACGCACAGCGCGAGTTTTCAATTTTCTTTTGGAAACATATCTTTCAATTGTACTCCAAAATCGAAGAATTTCAATCATTCCTTCTTTATTTAATTTAATAACCAACAACATTAATCATTGTTTTTCATTTCAGATTCAACGTAAATGCATCAAGAGAGACGACAACAAAATAAATTATAGCTGTGAATCATTAAAAAAATGAGGTCGAGAGATTCTGTTGTTTATACTCCAGTTTCAATTGGACCAGACACCGATGATGAAGAAACTTTGGTTAATGCGGAAGTCTACAGCAATGGTAAGTTTCTAACAAATTTATAACAATAAATAACATATATAAATGATTTTTATCAATTAAACAAATTACTGAAGATTGTCGAAAATCTTGTTCAATTGTTCGACTATCTTCAATAATTATTTGAGATTATACCGATCAAGGTTGGTAACAATGAAATCTTCAGAATTGAACTGAAAACTAGTGTCTTACCATACGAGAAATAGTTGAAATTGTCAATTCAATTGAAAAAGTATTCAAGTAAAATCGTTAACAAGTGTATACTATCGATAATTTATCGACTATTAGTAAAAATAAAGTATACCGAGTATACCTATCAAGTTAGTTATAAATTTCGAAAGACAATCTATAGAAATATGATTCTGCTAGCCAGTCCGAGGTTACTGGCCTCGATTAAACCATCATTGACGTAAGAAAGGAAAGGAAATCGTGATAAGACCGAAGAAAGAATCGATTTACCCTTATCCAATCCTATTTATAAAGTGTTCATTTTAGACACAGATGATTTAATAATTAATTCCGACTTCTATTGAGAAACAGTAGAACATTGAAAAAGAGATTAATGAATAGAAAACATTTTTGTTTTCATTCGAATGATTGAATTCGCGAGAAATCCATTGATTATTATTTACTCATTCAATTATAAACTTTCATAGGAACATCATGAAATTCACATCAGTCATAGATAGATAGATTAAGTTCTTGACCCAAGACAAGAAGCCTACGATTGGAAATAGTTGGACAAGCATCAAAGAAAAGGAACTCTGAGTCAGAGAACTCCTACACAACTTCCGAATTCAAACTTTATGCTTTGAATACATATTGAATATACGTGGGTGTGATAAAAGAGACAGACACATTTACTTATATACGAATAAATACGTGAATATACATAGATAAATACAATGTCAGATAATTCGCGACGCGTCAGATTCCGTTTTAGGAAAGACCGTATCTCCTGGTCCCACGGAAAGACAATCAGTCGTCTTCTTCGAACTATTCGTCAGAATACTTTTTATTTCTTTAAATGTTTATCTTAATGGTGGCATTTTGCAAAGAAAAAAAAGTGAAAGAAACAATGGTATACTTTCAATTGATCGGGTCAATCGATTTGCGTAGCTGCAAGGCTTTAAAACTGGAAAACTTTTGATATATATATATATATATATATATATAAATGTGCATTTCAGTAAAAGCCAGTTAGTATATTACTTATATACTTTCACGAACATTGCATTTATCTCGTCACGTTCAATTAGAAAGCAGAGGAAGTTTCTTGACGTTGTGGGAACTCGCTGTGTGTGTTGGTAATCGATATTTATTTCTTCGAGACATCTACGTTGTCATAGTTGTCGTCTTTGATAAATGATAAGGAAAGTTACGAGAAACCTTTCTGTTCGTTCATAAAACCATAACATTCGAGGTACTCGATAAGTTTTATCAGTCTCTTGGCGCCGTCTGGTCATTGTATTAATTTCTCGATTGATTTTTGTTTATATAGTACGATCTATGTACCTATACATACACATGTACACATTCATTTTGAAAACTTATCACTTGAAATTACTTCAAAAGTATTTTAAGTATAACAACGTTGATTTTGAGCAAAAACAAAAATCATGGCAATTTAGATTAATATCAATATTGAATTGAAATAGTCTATCTTATCGTTTTTATTTATATAATTAATGTTTTATAATTTAAATGACAAGTTTGAAAATGAACGCATAATCCGTATCAGATTAGTATGAAACAAAAATAGCCATTAGCTGTTTTAAGATATGATTTTGGAAAGAAAACATCAAGAGCGTGTCCTCTTCGTTCATGCAGATCTTCCTGAGACGACTTTCGTTCCTATTCCAAGCACGCACAGCTACCAACACAAACGTACACACCTCACACGATTGGTATATTGTATATTCTTGCTTACATAGTTCCAGGTTGGTATATAAAACACGACAGACACTCTTCTCTCACTTCTTTTTCGTTGTTTACCTTTTTTTTTACTCTCCTGAGGCATATCTTTTCAGCGACCTCGTAAGATTCACAATCTCTGCCACGTAAAATCCTTCGAAAAGGACGAAAAAATCAAATAAGAAGAAAATGAAAGAAGAAAAAGGAGAGCTGCTGTTAACTCGGTGTAAAACGTAGTGCTGGGTTGACTTGAACAATTTGCTGTCGTAAATAAGAAACGTTAGCTACACGTGACGCGTTCTCTCTTCCTTTCTCTTTCTTTCTTTCTTTCATTATTTATATCCAACTCTTTCTCTTTCTTTCATAAGAACGAGCTCTAAGATATACACATTTGCAGATAATATCATTCATATCGTGCAAGCAACGTTCCGAATTACTTTCCTTCCTACGTGCAAGTACCCTATAAAGAGATTGGTTTCTCTAAACTATTTACGATTTTTAGTTTAAACACTGATATCATTATTATTACTTCATCTTTAAAATATATGAAATTTCATCTCGACTATATGAAAGTTGTATTTTGTTTTAATATTGGATTACCTAAAATATTTGTAACGATCTATAAAAATGTCGGAATATGTTGTCAACATGTTGGTAATATGTTAAATAACGAAAATTTTGAGGAACACTTTTGAGAATTAATATCAGGAAAGAAAGAAAAGAAAACTATAAACATTAACCACCCTGCTGCTGCTGCTTATCGATCGAACCAGTAACATCTGTTTAAAGTTGGCCACAAGTTCTTGACACCCGGTATACTCAAAGAACATACCCAAAGAGATGGTAATCGGTACAATGTTGGTCGACGTCTCATGCACGTTACAAGTCCACACTTATCGTTACGATCTATTCAGTTTTTTTTCTTTCGTGGGAATCCAGCAATCCAGCAATACTGCTCGCTTTCTTACCTACCTTTCTTTTCATTTTCTTATATACATAACTTTATCGTTTTACATTAAATCCAAAATTTTATCTCAATCTATTCAATTACACACATTTCTAATTGAAATTAATATGATATGCTAATGTATGAAAATAATATAATACATCAAATAAAAGTAAGAGCTAATTGAAACTTCTTTTTTTCGGTTTTAAATAACTAATATGACAATACTGTAATAAATAAATAAAAAAATGATCCTAATAAAATATCTGAATAAAAATAAAAATAAAAAATAATTCCGTATCAATGTTCTTTAAATTGGAACGACGGATTGAAGTTATTTTTAGTTTTTTTCCTTATAGCTTGAATAAAATAGATGCAAAATTTGAAGAAGATCAATTAGAGTCGGAGTGATCACATAATGCCCGACACACGGATAATAATAATCGGGCCAAGTATACCGTTAATGGTGCGAAAATGACGCGTCTTTTAGTGATTTCATTCTGTACGGTAAAATGAGTTGAATTAAATTCTTTTTTTCTTGATCTTTCTCTTTCTGTATCGCCTTGAAACCATATGAAAGAGAGAAAGAAAGAAAGAGAGAGAGAAAGGTTGCATCAAACCGGCCCCGAGGCAACCGACTGCGCAACCTGCTGTAGGATTTGTACCAGGTGGAAACCTGCGTTCGTGTTACGCGTCACCTTCAACGAGATAAAAGCACAAGAGCGAGAACGTTTTCTTGTATGTATCTCACCGATCGATATTGTGAAAAGCAATATGTTCTTTCTTATGTATGTACAATATATGTATATGCATATGGATACATGTGTGGAGAGAAAAACATATGCAATACATGGAAGTACTCACAGTAATACTCGGTGTGGACCATTCGAACGTTACTTTTTGTCGTTCCTTCTTTCGCACGTGATTTACCCCATACTCTTCTCGTCTCTCTCTCTCTCTCTCTCTCTCTCTCTCTCTTGCAAACTGGCTGATCGTGTTACGAGCATGTATGATATTAGTTAGTCAAGTATACGTTGCATTATTTATATACTAGAGTGATATCTAATTAAACGATACGAGTAATTAAGAGATAGGTGTTAAGGTGTGGGATTTCTTTTTTTTTTCTTGTAGAAAATTAAAGAGTTATGTTTTTTTTTTTTTGTGAATAGGGTAAAACGGTTCTCCTCTATCTATATTGTTATTTTATGATATTATAAATGTTTCTGTAGAAAAGAAATATTTCTAATATATCTCAATTTTACCTCATGACAAAAAAGAACATGCTTAGTTATAGTCACTTTTTTGATTTATCTTTGCAGGCAAACCAGTACTCTTCTTTTTTGTTTTAAAATAATAATTAAAAAATAGGAAAATGCGTTTTCGTTTGTAAAATTGAACAAGTTTATATAAACGTGTGGAATAACGTTTCAGTTTTACGCAGTATTTATTTACTGTCACTACTTTTAAAACACATTCGATCTCTCTCTCTCTCTCTCTCTCTCTCTTCGACATATTCCTATTCCAGTTCCCTTCTATAAGACACAAGATAAGACTAGTAACCGTTCATATCTATCTCACACAACGTGCTTTGCGTATTGCTCCGTTACGCCCCTCCTCATACGGATTTCTTACGGGTCGTTGTTACGGGGTCCCGCTTTCACGATCCAAGTGACTACTGACTCTTGAATGAAAGAAAGATACGAGGGAATGAATGAACTAAGAGAGCAGACCAAATGTTGCTCGTAAGACTACGAGCATGCCTCGTTGGAGTTACGAGAGTTTTAAGTGGGTAGTATTCGTGTGGGCGATCATGCGTTGCTTTTACGTTTACCTATACTTAACAAATAATGTTTTAGGGCGTTTGTATGTGTGTATTAGCTTGCCCAGAAAGTTCATATCGATTTACATTTTTATTCTTAATCGGTTCAAACTTTCCGGGCGGCTATATTATAACATACTTCAAATATTATCATTTCAGTCATAAAGTTATACAATATAAATGAGTCAAGATATAATAAATGTATGCAGTAATTAGCATACAATTGTTAAATATAATTACGATGATGCTTCCCACTCGAACGACGAAACTAAAGACGGAAGTAGCCTACCATAAAGCATACTATAATATCGATAAATTAATACA